GTAAGCAGGTCTTCTGTGCCTGCGAGGCCCAAAAAACATGCGGCATCTCCGAGTGTGTGTATGGCTGCCAGCTCTGTGTCACTAGGATCCCCCATCGCGCGCTCTGAAAATTTCTCATGTACCACCCTCCTAATGCATTCACACGTTGCAAAATGAAACACAAGCGTTTCTCACTTGATAGGGATTATAGTATCCCCTTATACAAACAGTCCTTAATTGGGATTATAGTACCCCCAATTATAATCCATATTAAGAACTGTAAATATAAGGGGGAGCATCCCAACCTACAGCGCCAGAAAAACTAAATGCGTAGTTCTATGTTGGGATATACGCTACCCCCCCCCCCCTCCCGTAGCTTTGCTGCGTACAACACTTTGTTGGTTCCACTTGCGAAGGGAACCCAGAAGCCCAAAAAATGACAAAAGGGTACCACTGGGCTACCAAGCCCTCCTAATAACTTCTTTCCAACCCTAAACCCTAAACCCTAAACCCTAAACCCTAAACCCTAAACCCTAAACCCTAAACCCTAAACCCTAGACCTAAACCTTAAACCCTGAACCGCAGCCAGAGAACAGGGGCCGGCCCTGCGAATCGGGTGCGAAGCCCACCACCGAGCCCCCCGGAAAGCCGGGCATAGACGCACCTGGGCTTGAGATTTAGGGTTTAGGGTTTCAGGCTTCAGGGTTCAAGGTTTAGGGTTTAGGGTTTAGGGTTTAGGCTAATTTAGGGTTTAGGGTTTAAGGGTTAGGGTTTAGGGTTTAGGGTTTAGGGTTTAAGGGTTAAGGGTTTAGGGTTTAGGGTTTGGGGTTTGGGGTTTGGGGTTTGGGGTTTGGGGTTTGGGGTTTGGGGTTTGGGGTTTGGGGTTTGGGGTTTGGGGTTTGGGGTTTGGGGTTTGTGGTTTGGGGTTTGGGGTTTGGGGTTTGGGGTTTGGGGTTTGGGGTTTGGGGTTTGGGGTTTGGGGTTTGGGGTTTGGGGTTTGGGGTTTAGGATTTAGAGTTTAGGGTTTAGTGTAGGGTTTGGTGGGTCATTGCGTCGTTCTGGGCTGTAAGTAGGACGACTCCGCTTTGGACAGTTATGCCCCTTCTTATAGCTACGGCTCTTCAACTCACTTTCGGCCGGAAAGCTGTTGGTGCTCATCACGGCGAAGCCATGGTTGTACTGGACCTCGGAGAAGCTTATGGGAACCGATCCCCAACAAAGAGAGAAACCGCTGGTGGTCTTGGAGTTCGGGTTTGAGATGGCAGGTTTTCAGGAGCCTGCTTGCGGGTTGTGAGTTTCGGCAGCGGGCTTCTCTGCTTTGCTTGTTTTTTTCCAGGGTTACGCGTTTCGATCAAGGCAGGGCTAGGGCGAGCTCGGAAACACACGGCCTTTGGAAGTTTCTCGTTGGAGCTTGCCTGGAGGCCCTGAACCCGCCGGACTAAGTGCAGCAATCTTTCCCCGTCTGTCTTGCTGGGTGGGGCCCCAACCAAGGCCCTGTCGCCTCTGCTCTCTCGCAGATGAGAACCACAATACGAAACGCATGGCAAGACACCGGATGATTTTCGCCTACGAAACGACGGCAGCGGTGTCTCCCGAGCACGGGCCTAGTAAAACAGCAAGCAAAATAGCAAGCCTCCATGCTTAGCGTGATTCGCTCAAACATGTTTTATCGTGGTTCTTCTGTTCCTTATTGTCGTTCTCAAATCCTTGTTGTGGTTTCCCAGTCTCTGCTTGTGTAACCACAATAAGAACTCGCAGATGTCTCGTTTTGACGTCGGCAAAAAAGTGTACATGTCAGCTTCGCCTTTCAATGAGCAACTTGCACGTTGGCACCCCGCTAGAAACACGGTCCACAGCTGAGGCGGTCGGGGACTTCAGAGCCAGGGCCAAGCTATCCGAGAGCACTGTTCAGTCCATCTAAGTAACCCTGCGTCTACCTGGCGCGATGCAAGAAAGCTTTGGTTCAAAAAGCAGTTTCGTTCGCCGCTTCAGGGTAGTGTCTGAGAATGTGCCGAGGAATTGGAGTTGTTGCCTGCCGATGCTGTCAATGTAGTGTGCGGGCTGGTGTCTGGGCAGTGTGTTCTTTGATGTCTTGATTGGTGTATGTCGTGGTTTCTGAAGGATGATGCCGAATCTGGACATGCTTCGTCGGCACTGCGAGTGGAAAACTTCGAGTCTGTTGAAGTCTGCTGTGGTGAGTGCCTGTGGGGAGTGGGATGAATACCGCATTGGTATTGGTCGCCTGTGACCTCGTCGTAACCCTGATCTCCGGAGTGCAATCTACCCAGTCGGGCTCCACATTGATCCACCACTAGAGCAACCCTCTACCCAGAAAACAGCGAAGGAAGGTGGATATTCCAATGCTGAAGGCCATTGCCATTTGGCCTTTAGACACCTCCAACTAAACCCCGAAAAATGAATCCTAAACCCTGAACCGGAAGACCCTCTGAAACCCTAGGACCCAAAGCCTGAACCCTACGCTGGGCCAGGGACCAGCGTCCTCACTTCCGTGGCTGCGTCCAGCTTGGCAGCGTTCTCCTGGCAGCTCTTGGGGGCGCGGCTCACGGAGCTCAGGATTTAGGGAGGTTGCGGGCTTTTAGGGGTTTTCAGCACTTTTCGCATTTTAGGGTTTCGGGTCGTTAGAAGTCTATGTAATGTTGCATTGGCTTTAATAGGTAACCCCACCCCCCCGAAACAAATTTTGACCCTCTATAGAGACATGCCCGCGGGACCCCCTAAACAAAATTGCGGGGGGGGGAAGGGGGGGCGGGACCCTAAAGCCTCAGACCCTGCCCAAGACCCTTGACAGGGCCTCAAGCCTCTAGGACCTCAAGGCCTGACCTCGTTTCGTAATGAAATTCAAGAATTCTGTAGATGGAACCGGCCGGGCTTAATTTCCTGGATCCTCCGGGTGCTGGCTCTTTGAGATCCTGGAGCCCAAGGCCCAAGCCTTACTGCTTAAGCCCTTCACCCTTTAAAAAACAACCATCCGTAAAAAAAGACTTGTGTTTTTAGCGGCTGACCCCAACAAACTGAGTTCGCAGAATCTTTTTCGAAACTTGTGACTACACCTGAAATACCCCTGACATACAAAAGCCAGTGCAACATTATGAGCTTCAAGCCCTGAAGTCCTAAACTCCTACAGCCCCCCAAGAACCGCTTCAGGGGTCCTGGTCTGCCCTCTGCGGGAGAATCGGGGTTGATTCTTGGGCTTGGGCTACAGGACGCTGTCGGGACCCCAATTCGAAACCCTAAAACCCCTTGTGCGCGCCTGGTGCTCCCGGACCTTTTGCTGCAGAGCCATCTCCTGCCGCCCATGGCAATGCAGTTGAGGTGGTTTGGGCTCAGGCACGAAATACCAAAAACTTCTGAGTCTTCTCACTCTGTACAGAGGGAAATGCAGGGGAACGAAGGATCCTATGAACCCTAAAAAGTCTGAAGACTGAGTTCGTGAATCTACATACCCCCCAGTAGGGCGCCGAGTGCGAGATATGGTCACTTCGCTAAATTCTGCTCGATGACCCAAATCCTGCAAACCATAACCCCGAAACCCTGGCGGTAAAGCGGAAGAGACCAAGATCTGGTCCCATATATGCTCCTCTGGGTCCGTCTGGAAGGAGCCGGCATTCTTCACCTGGTGGCCTGCGATCCGGGCGCGCACCCCACGCGCACAGCTTCTCTTGGCGTTTTAACGTGCTAGGTATCAATGATCCTCAGCTACTGCCAGGATTCCCCCAACTATGTGGGCTCCGAAGCATAAAAAGGGCACCCTTGAATATTACCCTGCAAGAAGGAAGACCCTAAACCGGCCCTACACCCCAAGTAGCCTACTACGGGGCATCCTATGCTTTGATTGTATGCGATGAAGTTCGACGCCTCAGGGACTCGGGGCTAAACTCTTCTTCGAACGCCCGCCTGCTCTTTGAATGTCTCATCGATTGCACAAACCCACCTAGTCCAACTGTCCTAATATGGGGGCCTTGAAAAATTAGAATAGGGTTTTGGGGGGTTATTATAGTATAATTATACTGGGACCATAAGGGGTTATTATTAGTGATTTTTCCGACACCTATCCTAACTCTAAGGACTTCGCCTTCCTGCCCTCACGAGATTTTCTAAATCATGTGCCGTTTCTTCACCTTCCTACCCTCATATGAGGGATTCTCTTAAAAATGGCAGCCACACAGGGGTCCTAATTCTGGGAACCCCTCATTTCCCGGAGGCTTATCTCCGGGCCACTGCTGCGCACTGCCCTTACTGGGTTCAGGGCTTGGGGATGTTTAGGGGGGTTGCCGGCCTCCAAGAATCTTAAGCCCGGAGTCTTGTGTCTAAACCCCAGAACTCGCCTGTCGGCTTCTCCTCCTCGTCCTGCTCTGCCTTCCTTGGTGGCTAAGGGAATCGGATCTTCTGGGGATACCTGAGCTCCTGAACCCTGCCCCATAGAAGCGCTAGAAGCCTTTCGACTCGAGTTCAGGGTTACTAGAAGCTAAACCTTTCTGAGCCCGCACCACCAAGGCCACCACCTCCAGAGAAGTGAATGTCACATCTGAAGTGAGACAACGCACATCAAAGCTACACCAACCGAAATGAGTAGCTCAATGCCAAGCCCTGGGGCTGGAACATCTTGGGCGTTTCAGCATTTATTCCGCATGCAAGCAAGTTAAAACATTCAGCTACGGTAACTTGAACCCGGCCCACACGCTTTTGTAACAAGAATGCTAATCGCCATGACGAGTATATCCTTGAGAAAGTCCACGGGTAACATGTTAATAAGATACGAGCCACAGAGTGATGAGGTCTCTCCGCACAGCGGACCTGACCAAGCTGCTCAAGGTTTAGGGTCTCGGGTCTCGGGTTTGGGGGCTTCAGGGTTTTAAGTGCTGGGGGCTTCAGGGCCTGGGGGCTTCAGGCCCTGGGGAACGTGCTGCGCTACACCAAGTTAACCCGCCGCTGGAGAAAGAGTACCTGACATGGGTACATGCATCGTTTGGGTCCACTCCAGGCCTTACTGACCTAGTTTACTAAGGGTTTCCGCAACTCTTGGGCCGTTCCTTCAAGCATGCAAACCCAGCCGACAACAGGAGCATCGCGAGATAGGCAAGAAACTGAAATGCGCGGAGCGCGTGCCAAGCCACCGACGGGGTAAGCGGGACATGCACGCAGTGGTGCAAGATGCAACAAGAAGCAAAGCAGAGAAACAAGATCGCACATGCCAGGCTGAGCGATGTCTTTGGAAAGGCCCCGGTCCCTTGCATGCCGGACCATGTTTCGCAGTCATAGATGATGGTGTAGATGAAGCCAAGAACAAGAAGCAACTGGCAGATGTGGTGAACGCAGACTTGTGCAAGCAGAAAACCTTGGCCCATGCAGAATAAGCTCGAGACTGGCTTGCCGGACGGAATGCAGAGCGCCAGGTGCTGAATGGCCTGGGCAGGCCACGCACCAGCATCACGTAAGCCGACAAGATAGCCATCGACGCAGAGCTCAAGAGAGGCTCCTCCGTAGGGAACTTTCCGCCCAAAAAAAGATGCTAGCAAGAATGCGAGACTTGCGAACCGGATGCGGCAAGGCCTGCGTAGCTAGGCACAGTGGAAACCACGTCTGCACAACGTTTAGCCAATATCGCGCCAGCAGGACCCCTGCCTCTGGATTTCCGCAGTAGCTGAAGCATGCCCACGCAAAGGATGCCATCATGAGATCGGCCATTGTGTCAGAGAGCAAGGTAAAGTTAAAGCACGCGTGCAACAACGAAAAGACGAAGAAGAGTATTACGGGCAAGGTGTTGGCATGGCCTGTCTCACCGTCCAAGGGCTGTGCGACTGTCCGGGCTGTCATGCTCATACCGGTTTGGCTGTTTGTATTTGATGCAGGGTCACCTCTTCCAGGACTGGACGGATCAGGAAGTAGAGAAAAGCCGCGAAAGCGTGAGGACGGAGCGTTCACAGACAGACATGGCCTCTGCCCAGTGCTGAAGTGTTCACTCTGGCCGTGCGACACCACCTCCGAACGAATCTCGTCGTACACGTCCTGAAGCCTTTTCGGTTGACCAGCACATCGCACCAAAAGCTTGCATGAAGGGGCTGCAATCCAGAGAAGCATCACCATCTCTTGCGGGTCGTCCGAGAGATGAAGCCTAGATGATGGCAGATGCTTTGTCGCCTTTCCTTTTGTGTGGGTTTGGCTCGCACCTTGCCGAGAGCAGTTCCGGACTGATATCACGACAGCAGTTCATCAGAAACACAAACACAGCGCCGTTGCTGCATGTGCTCTGGTTCACCACCGTATCCATCACGGAGGAAGCCTCCATCCGACCAGAAGGCTGCCCCTCCCCATCTAGGAAGATGGGCATGGCCTCCCCCCCCTTCAACTTGGCAGTGCCCGTTGAAGTTAAACAGGATGAGTTCATGCTTCACGGTGAGCTGCTGGCAAAACACGGCAAGGAAAGCTTCAAACTCAGCGCGCTTTGCATCCTGACATTTGAGACAGGTCATGCCGACTTTGTCGAGCGCTTCGTAGCACCAGTTCATGTCAGCGACTGCAAAGTCCAGGGGCCTCTGCTTGTAGGCATTGATGCCGATGGTGCAGGTCTGCCCCCCCCCCGAACCTCTTGCTGGCGCAGCCCCTTTTGAAGGTGCGAGTCTGCTAGTCACACCCTGAATGTCTAAGCTTGTCTCCAGACCAGAAGTATGACTTCCTAGAACTCCTAACTCATGAAACCCTGCAATCTCAACCCTCAGCCCTCAGCCCTAAAGCGCAGCGCCAAACCTAATCACAACCAAATCCCGGATCTTCAGCCCTAAGCTCTAGGTGCGTGAATAGACCTGTGTTCAACTCTGAGGGGCCGACCTGTGGGTGTTGGAGCTTCAAAGTTTTAGGAGAGGGCTTGGGGTCTAGGGTTTAGGGTTTTGGAGTTGGGGTGTAGCTGTTACTGCCTACACCTACCTACGCTTCTGGCTGGTCAACGCCTTGCAAAGACCACGAAGATAAGCCGCTAAATCCTGTATCAGTACCTCAGCGCCTGGGTGCCTGCTCTGGCGCATAAGAATGTTGGTTCGGTCGAGGTTGCAAATTACAAGCACCCTTGCCCTTAGTGCCTTATTCACCCCTAAACCCTAATCCCAATCCCTAAACCCTCAACCCTTAACCCTTAACCCCAAACCCTTAACCCCAACCCCAAACCCCAAACCCCAAACCGCAAACCCCAAACCCCAAACCCTAAACCCGAAACCCTCAACCCTAAACCCTAAACCCTAAACCCTCCCTCTATGCCGCCTCGGCAAGCCGACCCCGGCGAAGGCCACATTCAGAACGCCGAGGCCGGCGAGGAGTGGCGCCAGCACGGCAGGCCAGCGCCGGTGGCCCTCTCTGAAGCAGGAACCCCATAGGTTCAGGATTCAAGGTTTAGGGTTTAGGGCTTAGGGCTTGGGGCTTGGGGCTTCGGGCAGACCCTTCACCTGTCACCCGCAAACCAAAACCTCAGTGGCTTGCTCTTGTGAGGTTTGGGATGGTTGGGGGCGAGGGGCTGCAGGGTTGAGAACCTCGGGTTTCTGTGGGCAACCATCAACGTTAACTAGGGTTCAGGGATTCACGCTTAGGGTTTGACGGCCTCTAAGATGCAGCTAGGGTTTGAGTTCAGGGTTGTCCGTTGCCGGACCAGGGGGGGGGGGGAGGGGTGCTGGGTCCGGAGCTTTGGAGAGCTGCCAAGTTTCCTGGGTGTTTGGGTTTAGGGGGTCAGAGCTTGCTGGCCTTTGGCTTACACCTCTCCTGGCATGTTGCACACACGCTGGGCTGCGTCATCCTATGATGCCGACATCGCGCAGCCGATTTTGTCCAGCTTTTTCGGGGAACTGAGGGCTAACCGTTGGGATGATGCAGGGAAGCTGCCGCCCAAAACAGGCGAAAGGTGACTTACTCAAAGACAACGTCGTGCTTAGACGATGGCCAAAAACCCACCCTAAATCCTCAACCCTGAACTCTAAACCCTAAAACCCTAAAACCTGAAGGCCGAAGCCCTCCAGGCTCACAGCCTCAGGATCAACATGGAACTTGGCAGCCTTAGAGTCTTAGAGGGCACAGGGCTTCTGGCTTGGGGCCTTCTAAAGCTGGAAAGCTGGGATCCTCAACCTGAAGCCCATGGCTCGCGGCGCGTACCCGAAGTACTTTACTCCGATTCAAGCGTGGGCCTTGTAGGTCCGATGCGGCTGGGGGGCCTTCATCGCGCAAGCGCCCGTGGAGGCGGCGGCAGATCAGCGGGTTGAGGGTTGCAGGGATACAGGGAGTTGCAGGTTTTGGGGCTCGTTGGGGTCTAGGTCGGGGCATGGGGGAGGGTCCAGGCTGAGGAGTACAAGGGTAGGGCCTTCTAGCATCATGAACTCCAGAATTCTGGATCCTTTTCCGGTTCATGGATCGCCTGGGCCCGTGCTTGGGATGTCCTTTGGTTGAGGTTGTTCATGGTTTGTGCGCCTGTTGAGGCTCATGGATTTCTTTGACCGCTATATAAAGGTTTGAGCACAGCTTCGGTTGTGCGCAGATTCGCAGCATCCAGCTGTCTACATCTTCGCGGAAAGTCAGTTGAACCTTGAACCAGCTACCTGACTACAGTTATTTCCAAAGTCGAATACTTGAAACCTTGCAGCGCATCTGTCACGGAAGCTGGTTTGCTTTGGCATGCTGCGCTGCACTCCCCGCTAGAAACTTCGCTGCGCTTGACGTGCCACGCTCACGCTGGCAGCAGTGTGCTTGCACAGATGCTGACGCCAGCACTGGCTCCGGCAACCCCGGCCGAAACAGAGCTAACAAGTCCTCCAGCACCCTGCCAATCCAAAAAGTAGCTTTTACGCCCATCGGCATGACCCAAGTGCTGACAGCTTGGAAGCCTGTCTGAACCCTTCTACAACTACGCCCCATGGACTTATACTCTCTGGCACGACAACCTCGCGCCGTCGCGTCGATGTCTCTCAAGGGTGTTGAAGGAGGGTGTTGAAGGGTGACCCTAAACCCTAGGCCCTAACCTAAACCCTAAAAGCCCAACCCCTAAGCCCTAAGCCCTAAGCCCTAAGCCCTAAGCCCTAAGCCCTAAGCCCTAAGCCCTAAGCCCTAAGCCCTAAACCCTAAACCCTAAACCCTAAACCCTAAACCGCAACCGGCCCAAGCCTTCAACCCTAGCAACATAAACCTCAGACCATGGGTTCCCCTACCCCCCCCCCCCCCCCCCCCCCCCCAAGGTTCCCCCTGCATAAGTAAGGGTTTCGGGTTTAGGGTTTAGGGTTTCTCCGCATGCTGCGGACCGGATGCGTCCGCAATATAATGACCCCAAACCCTACACCCTACACCTTAAACCCTAAACCCTAAACCCTACACCCTAAACCCCAAACCCCAAACCCTAAACCCTATACTAGCTTGCAGGGGGCTGTGGTCCGCGAGCTGCGGAGCTCCTCAGAACCTCCCAGGCAGCCGGCTGAGCCCGAGGGTCTTTCTCTGGGTGCTCAAACCTCAGTCTGGACGGTTAAGGGTTTTGTTTAGGGTTTAGGGCTTAGGGTTGAGGGTTTAGGTTTTAAGGTTCAGGGTTCAGGGTTCAGGGTTCAGGATTCAAGGTTTAGGATCTTCGAAAAAATGGCTTTGGATATAGCGCCATGAGAAGCCTTCACTGCAAGTTTTGCTGCTCTTTGTTGGCCTTCGCCAACCCTCGTAAATTCACTGTAACAGGACATGCAAGCACGCAAGTACTGAACGTGAGCATGCTGTGCAAAGCCAGCAGCACCCAATCCGGATACGACTGACTCCTTTACAAAGATGAAGGTACAGACAGTGTGCATGCTGTGACGCCAAAGCCAAGAGCACCCAATCCGGATACGACAGGCTCCTGTACAAAGATGGCGGTGTGGCGAAGATGAATCGCATGTTCATGTCACAGAGCACTCGAATACTGATGGGGTGTAGAAAGATGAGTTGGAGTCTCGGCCTGCTAGCTCTCATGACTCTCCGCACTTGGGAGCGCCGAACGCAAGCGGGTCTGTGTTGGCACCTCAGCGGGCACCTCTTCACTTGAGCTACCTGGGTCACTGCAATAGGTGCAGGCCGCATAGATCACCAAGAAGAGGGCAATGATCTTGGGGCCAAGCTGGAAGTTGCCTGGCAGCAGCCAGGTGCCCAGCAAGGGCCCTGCAGCCTCTCCCACGGCAGCGGACGCATTGAAAATGGAGGACACTGCCGGCGAGACGGAATGCCTAGCCTGCTCCTTCGGAGTATCCTTCAACTGACTCGCCGCCGAATCCACCATGCTGGGCAACACCGGGGTCCAACAAAGACCCCAGCCCAAGCCGATCAGGAGAAGACCACCAATCTGAGAGACCCAGGGTGTCAGAAGCACCCAACTGCCAACCCAAAACGACCCGCAGGCATAGATCAGCAAGCCCCCGGCCATAAGCCACTTGGCTTGTATGCACTTCAACAACGAGGGCACTGCCATGGCTGCAAAGGTGCTAGGCACTGCTGACAGTGACATCAGGAAGCCGATGCTGGTATGGTCAATTCCACCCAGGACTCTGATGAAATGATCTCCTAGCAAAGGCTCGAAGGCACCCCACACCCCCAGGCACAAGGTGGAGATGCCGGCCAGGAGCAGGAGCCGAACACTAACCACCGAGCAGAGGGTCATGGTCATGTCTTCCGATGGCCCAGATTCCAAGCCGTCTGTAGTTTCAGACTCAGCTGCTTCGAGAGCCTGGCTGGTCTTTGTCTCCGCCTTGCACAGGAAAGCCACCAAAGATATGGCGACAAAGAGCAGGTGTAAACCCGCACTGAGGATGAAGGGCATCGCAAAGCCACCATATTGGAAGAGCACGCCGCCCAGCAACGGGCCAAAAGTCACACCTACATTGCCACAGACCTCCTGGAAGCCAACCACACGGTGGAACTCGCCCTCTCCAGTGAAGGTGCGCGCAAGGTGGGTGCTGATGGAGGTGTAGATGGGGGCGGTGGCCAGCCCCTGCACAGCTCGCCAGCAGATCCAGCCCACCACTGACCGGGACAAGCCGAAACCCAAGGAACTTGCAGCCAAGCCGACGAGTCCACCTAGCAGGTAGCCACTCAACCCGGCTAAACCCTGGCTGTTGGTTTCGTCTCATCTTGTTTCAAAAGAAAAAACACAAAAAACTGACATCTCATGAACCCAAGAGATCCCGAAACTGCACAACCCGGAAGGAGTCCAATCGAACCCAGCCACAGTTCATCATCACTTCCACTCCATATCTTTTGATCATAACATCCATGGCCAGATTTCCGACGAAGCTGCTGGCAGGCATGGCAGCAAAGATGAAGCCCACAGTCAGGTTGCTGGCACCGCAGGTTTCACGCGCGTAGACCTCGAAGAATGGGCTCATCTGATAGATCATGGCCATGGACAGAAAGTAGGCTCCCAGGCATGTCACCAAAATCACCCCACGCTCTCCCTCACAAAGCCCAGCCATTTCTCCGGATGCCACGTCACGATGTCGAAAGGCTTGACAAGTTGCGGAGGTTTGAGCTGCAAAGTGTCGGCAATCACAAGTTGACTGGCAACCGTCAGTAGACACTCAGAAAACACCGAGCAGGTGAGGGTTGAGTACAGTTGTTCCTACAATTTCAAAGGGAAGCTGTGAACCCTAAACCCTAAACCTTAAACCCTAAACCCTAACTCCTGAATGCACTACGTCTTGGCCGACAAAGCCCCCGAAACTGGGACTTTCCCTGCCACCCTTCTCCCATGGGCACTCCCTGGCATACCGTATAATTGCTTCCATTGCGGTTGTGGGTTTGAAGGGGCAGGTGGACGCTTAAGCCCTACGCCCCCTAAATCCCGAAGCTCTGTAAACCCTAAACCCTAAACCCTAAACCCGAAACCCTAAACCCTAAACCAGTCAGCTGTGTAGCGCCAAAGCCCAGAGCCAGCCTCGACGACGTAGCACCCACTTTCCTTTCGCGCAGCACAGTGAGTAGGTCCCGATTGCCTCCAGGGCTTAGGGAGGTTTAGGATTTAGGGTTTAGGGTTCAGCGTTTAGGGTTTAGGGGTTAGGAGTTAGGGTTTTAGGGTTTACCCTCAACCCGAAGCCCTAAGCCCTCACAGGGAATAGGCGTTAGGGCTCAAGGTTGTTCCGTATGTACAGGTTTCCAGCCTGGGCCAAGGGTTTGGGTGGTTCAGGCTACCCGGGGGGCCCCCTCTAAAGCTGGATCCTTAACCTGAAAAGCCCATGACTCGCACGGGTACCCAGTAAGTGCAATGAGACGTGTATTTCGATTCCAGTCTTGGGTCCGACTTTACGGAGGGGGCCTTCATCACGCAAGCGCCCATGGAGGCGGCGGCAGATCAGCGAGTTAGCGAGTTGAGGGTTGTAGGGATACAGGAGGTTGCGGGTTTTGGGGCTTGTTGGGGTTTAGGTCGGGGCATGGGGGGGTCCCGGTTCATGGATTGCCTGGGCCAGTGCTTGGGACGTCCTTTGGTTGAGGTTGTTCATGGATTTCTTTGGACGGCTACATGCTTGAGCATCGCTTCGGTGTGTGCGGATTCGCAACATCCAGCAGTCTACATCTTCACCACCCACCTGACTGCTGCATTTCCCAGGTCGACGCTTGCTTGAAACCGTGCAACGCATCTGTCACGGAAGCCTGCTTGCTTTTGCATGCTGCGCTGCCAAGAGAAGATCGGGATCACTTCCCGCTAGAACCTTCGCTGCGCTTGACGTGCCACTCTCACGCTGGCAGCAGTGTGCTCGCACAGATGCTGACGCGAGCACTGCCGCGGCAACCCCAGCCGGAAGAGATAAAACAAGTCCTCCATCCAAACATAGCTTTTAAGTACATTTTAAGTACACCCCCATCGTCATAGCCACACAACTTGAAGACCCAAGTACTGACAGTTTGGAGGCCTCCTTCAACCCTATTACAACTACGCCCCATGGACTTATAATCTCTGGCCTGGTACGAGAACCTCGAACCGTCGCGTCGATGTCTTCAAGGGTGGTGAAAGGTAACAAAACCCTAAACCCTAAACCCTAAACCCTAAACCCTAAACCCTAAGCCCTAAGCCCTAAGCCCTAAGCCCTAAGCCCTGCCCTGAGGTCTGAGCCCTGAGCCCTAAGCCCTAAACCATAACCGGCCCAAGCTTTCAAGAACTTCTCCGTTTACATGCCTAGATCGGGAAAGCCCGAAAAAAACGTTTACTTAAACTTCCACTTTTCCGTGTTTTTGGGTTTGGGATGTGAGGATTTCGGGTTAAGGGTTCAGGGTTTAGGGTTTAGGGTTGTCGGGTTGTAGGGTTTTGGTTTAGGGCTTGGGCTTTGGGGTTTGGGGTTTAGGGTTTAGGGTTTAGGGTTTAGGGTTTGGGGTTTGGGGTTTGGGGTTTGGGGTTTGGGGTTTGGGGTTTGGGGTTTGGGGTTTGGGGTTTGGGGTTTGGGGTTTGGGGTTTGGGGTTTGTGGTTTGGGGTTTGGGGTTTGGGGTTTGGGGTTTGGGGTTTGGGGTTTGGGGTTTGGGGTTTGGGGTTTGGGGTTTAAGGCTTGGCTTTTTTCAGCAAGTCAAGCAGTAGGGTCCGTTCCAGGCTTCGGCTTGCTGGATCGAAGCCCAACGCCTCAACCGTAACCCCGAGACCCAAAGGAGGTACAAAGGGCTTAGAGGGCCGAGGTTTTGGGCTTAGGTGTTTGAAGTGCGGTGAAGTGCGGTGTGCAGACTTGTGGTTTAGGGCTTAGGGTAGTTTAGAGGGCTCTGGGCGTAGGGGTTGGATTCCGAGCCAGACCTGGCTACGCCCTAAACGCTAAGCCTTAAACCCGAAAGCACCCCAAAGCCCTAATATAGGGGCCTTAAGTATTTTGATAAGGTTTTGGGGGGGCTCTTCTAGTATAAATATAAATGGACCATGAGGGAATGCTATTAGTAATTATTCCAACCCCTACAGTAACCCTAAATCCTAAAGCCCTTTAGCCCTAAACCTTCAGCCGGACCCAGTCAGATGACGCGCCTGGGGAGCAAATTCGTGAGACAGCTTTGGACAATGTCGCTTCACGAGCTTTGTCGAGCTGGCCTCAGCCCCGGTTTTCCTGATTCGAAGCTTCAGGGCTTAGGGTATTTAGGGTTTAGGGTTCAGGGGTCAGGGTTTAGGGTTTAGGGTTTAGGGTTTAGGGTTTAGGGTTTAGGGTTTAGGGTTTAGGGTGCTTAGGGCCCTGAACCCGAACAAGTGAACCCTTAACTCAACAAAACCCCAGGTCAGCTCCCTGTAAGGCTTGAACCCTATGAGTCCTCAAAAGCCCGAGAGATCACAGAAACCCTACAAAAAATCCGAAACTCTTAGGAGATAAGGTTTAGGGTTTAGGGGCTTGGGGTTCAGAACCTAGAAGCCCCCCAAAAAAAACTCCAAAACCCAACAACATTCAGAACTCACCTCCACAGAAGTGCATGTACCATTTCGGACTCTTGACTCGAAGGGCCCTACGAATCGCGCGAGAAGCAAGACAGATTTTAACAATACCCGAGCCGCAGAGCGGTGAGGTCCCTGCGCACCGCAGGCCTGCGGCTGAGAATTTCGGGCTTCAAGGTTTCAGAACTTTCGGGCGTTATGGCTCAAAGCGCTGGGGGCGTCTGCTTGGCCAACAAGGCTAGCGACTAGCACTGATGCATGGCAGGGTCTCAACGCTGGAAGCAAGGCTATACAACAACTGCTTCACAACTTAACTTGAAGCCGCCCAGGCATCCCTGTTTTAAACCCGACATTTCGAAACTATGGCCTTGGGTTCAGGTTTCAATGTTTAAGGCTTACGGTTCCCCCTGTCGAGCCGCCTATGTGTGGGCACCCGATTGAACATGAAATTGCTTCCTTGATCATCCCCAGCATTAAGCCGGCACACGTGCATTTTGGCAACGCCGTTCGGCGAAGCGCTAGAATGACCCTCTTTGGGGCCAACAGCATCACTAGTCACTAGTCTTCTTTGCCTGGAGTTTAACTTTCTGGAGAGAAACGAGTAGCCATTGCGGACGAAAGCGTATGCACGGGCCGACCGTTTCCAAACGCGAAGACCCAAACACTTGACCACGCAGAAGCACGCGGGCCTGTATAGGGTCTAGGGTTTCAGGCTCAAGGTCTAGTGTTTTGTCAGGCGCATCATAGTCGGCCAGTGCTCGGACGGAGCGCAGACGGGTGAATGCCAGCAATGTCCAAAGTTCGGCGATACCAGGGCTTAAGCCTTCGGATATCAATGCAGAAACAGAAGTTGCACGCAAGCACAAACAAAAGATCACTAGACATCAAAAGAAGTACACACAGTCACACACATACAAGGTCAGCTGCTGAGTTCAACTTCGTTCTGAGTTCAACTTCGTTCGCCGACTTGGAAATGTAGGCGCGGTGGAAGGCCTCTTCCAAGCGCTAGAGGGAACGCGCAAACGGCGCGTATTCTTTGTACATGACGGGTCAGCGGATGTACTCAGGCCGGCTGCTGCAGCAAACCTCAGCCACAGAATTTCAGACTGAACCCGCAGTTTGCCCTGGAACTCTGTTGTTGTCCCAAGGGTGAAGCAGCCTGTTATCACCAGATGCTTTCACAAAAACATGTATACACTCTTCAATAACAGACATGCGGGACCCTCTTTGATGCGCTATCCCCCACATCCACAAACGTCAGAAGGCCACGCCTTTAACGGACCCCACCCTCTTGGATTGAAGCGGAACCACTCCCCTGCTAGGCCCCCGGAAAGATGGGCCGGCAATTGATTGCTAAAGGTGTGTCACACGAAACATTCTTACGGCGTCCAGAACAGCGGACCCCTAACGGATGCGAGATTCTTAATACTCCGGCAAACTTGAAATTTCAGCGTGCGTCCAACGGCAATCTAAACCCTCCTCTGACGCCAGGTCTACGGGCGGAATGCTGCACGGCAACAAAGTAAGTGGGATGGGATCATTGCGTCCAATCAAGAGCAACGTCTACGCACCTGGAGGCTCTACGCGAATCATTGGTTCGGTAAAGAGTTGAAAGTTTGGGATTCATCGCCTGATTGAATTTCTGAGTCATTCTCAAGCCTTGCAGGTTTTTACGTCTCCTCTTCGCCCACAGCATTCAGCCCTAGACACCTAAATTTTGGACCCTGTTGAACCTGGAACCTGCTTTATGCCAGGATGGCTCGCCGATGTTACCTGTGTGTGTGTGGAGGGAGCCAAACTTTGCAGCCGATAACGACACAGGCCAGCCCTTCCGCTCAGGCTGTGACGAAGGTGAAAAGCCAGCTGAGGGTCTGTCGCTATGACATGAAGGTGGAGGTCCTTGGGGTCCCGCTACGCTAACGGTCTCCCATGTCACACACTGCGCGGACACCAGTCAAGACTCATTCTGAACTACGATCTACCTGCCGCCCACTGCCGAGCCTGGGCATGAGGGAAGCTCATGCTTCCCAAGAGAACAGGATTGCTGCCCGCCTGATTTCGTTGCCCACCATCAGATTCACTGCTCTGCGCCCCGAGTAGCAATTTCTCTGAGCTTTCCGCTGGCGCTGTCCGGTTAGCCCTCACCTCGGCCTCTGGCAACTTTCAAAGCAACTGAATGTGGAGGGGAGACCACCGTCCCACAGGTATTCTCCAGGCTATCGACCCTTTGATGCTAGCATCAGCTTACTCAGCAATGTTGCTTGCCTGTCGTTCTTGGAGCGTGCGCAGCGGCAGGCCGACCTCATGATGTCACTTTTCAAGTTTTGCTTCTCGCCATTACACGTGAGTAGCCGAGCACTTCCACTTCTAAGGCCAGCGCGTACCCCTTCTGCACCTTATTCGCATTCTGCTTTCGACGAGTCATGGCTTAGCTTTCGAAGCTCAAGCTGCTCCCAAGCAAGTCCAGCCCTTTACTACGTTCAAAGAGCCAACGGCTGGGCTGCAGGACGAACGAGCATGATGCAGTGCAACTGTCTTCTGCTCAACTCCATCAACGTTTTACTTCGTTCACAAATGTGCAAGTTGCAGCGGGCATGGTACGTTGAGGGCTTGACGGATGTCAAAGGCATTAGGGAGGGTACTGCCCAGTGAGTGGGCGAAGCAAGTGGATGCAGGGAAGTAAGCGAGCAGAGCCGTGACTGCGGGGAGCGAGTGTCGCAAAACCCATTCCTACTAAGTTAAAAGCGCTAAACGTTGGAAGCTTCGTGTTTGATGCGTCAGCACAGTTGTCTCGGCACCCCCTAACCTCTGTTAGTCAGCATGTAGGTGAGTGTGAGAGTGGGCCATTGAGCGAAAAACGCGAAGAGAGCCATTACGAGCGATTGGTTGAGAATGAGCAACGAAAGACCTGCATTCCTCATTGCTAAGATTTGGCGAAAACGTGTGCGTACCTAAACCCCAAAAGCCCTAAACCCTTCCGAACCCTCCCCCTCTGCCGCCTCGGGAAGCCGACCCCAGTGAAGGCCACAGTAGCTCCAGCACGGCAGGCAAGCGCCGGTAGCCCTCGCTGAAGTTTTGGCATTTCCCTGAACCCTAAACCCGCAAAACGGATCCTACACCTTAAGCCCTACTAAACCCCAAACCTTTGCGGTTGCTTTTGTATTGCTGGCGAGACCTCCCCTTCCTGGCGACAACCATCAAACCTAAACCCACATGTGCCTAACGTTCAGGCTTTCAGGTTTAGGGCTTGACAGGCTAAGTGAAAGCTCAGGGTTCAGGGTTGTTGACATCCCACTGACGCTTCAGGTCAGTGGAGCTGCAAGCTTCAGGGAGCTGCGGGCTCGTAGTTTAAGTCTCACAGGGAGTTCATATAGGGGCCTGACAATTAGAATAGGGTTTTGGGGGTTATTATAGTGTGTATGTGTATGTGTATGTATGTATGTATATATATATATATATATATATATATAAGGGACCATACGGGAATACTATGAGCCTTATTCCGACCGGGATCCTGAACCTGAAGCCCACGACTCGCGCGCCTACCCCGAAGTAAGTTCAATGAGACATGTATCACGATTCCAGTTTTAGGTCCGAGGGCACTGTGGAAGGGCTTCGTCGCGCAAGCGCCCGTGGAGGCGGCGGCAAAGGGTTGCAGGGGTACAGGGAGTTGCAGGTTTTGGGGCTCGTTGGGGTTCAGGTCGGGGCATGGGGGAGGATCCAGCCTCAGGAGTACAAGGGTAGGGCCTTCTGGCGTCATGAACTCTCCAGAATTTAGGCTCCTTTTCCGGTTCATGGATTGCCTGGGCCAGTGCTTGGGACGTTCTTTGGTTGAGGTGGTTCATGGATTTCCTTGAACGGCTACAGGCTTGAGCACGGCTTCGGCGTGTGCGGCACCTACCTGACTGCTGCATGTCCCAAGTCGACGCTTACTTGAAACCTTGCAATGCATCGGTCACGGAAGCTGGCTTGCTTTTGCATGCTGCGCTGCCAAGAGAAGATCGGGATCACTTCCCGCTAGAAACTTCGCTGCGCTTGACGTGCCACGCTCACGCTGGCAGCAGTGTGCTTGCACAGATGCTGACGCGAGCACTGGCTCCGGCAACCCCAGCCGAAACAGATGTAAGGGTGGTGAAGCGCAACCCTAAACCCTAAGCCCTAAGCCCTTAGCCCTAAGCCTAAGCCCGAAGCCCTAAACCGCAACTGGCCCAATCTTTCAAGGTTTGGGTTTTGGATTTGAGGTTCTCGGGTGTAGCGTTCAGGGTTTAGGGTTGTAGGGTTTTGGGTTTTTGGTTTAGGCTTTAGGGTTTAAGGGTAGGTTTTTCAGCAAGTCAAGCAGTAGGCTCAACCGTAACCCTGAACCCCCGCCAAACGAGGTACCAAGGGCTTAGAGGGCTGAGGTGTTAAGTTTTGGTTTTGAAGTGCGGTGTGCAGGCTTGTGGTTAAGGGCCGAGGGTAGTCTAGAGGGGAGGGGGCTAAGGTTTGGATTTCCGAGCCAGGCCTGGCTACGCCCTAAATGCTAAGCCTCAACACCCCAAAGCCCTAAGAATAGGGGGCCTTAAAAATTAGAATAGGGTTTTGGGAGCTCTTATAGTAGAAATACAAAGGGACCATAAGGGAATGCTATTAGCCATTGCTCCAACCCCTATAGCAACCCTAAACCCTAAAGGCCTAAAGCCCTTAAAGCCCTACAAACCTTCAGCCGGACCCAGTGAGGTGACGCGCCTGGGGAGCAAATTCGTGAGACAGCTTTGGACAATGTCGCTTCACGAGCTTTGTCGAGTGTTTCGGCTTTAAGGGTTCTATGGTGGTTCAAGCCCTAAACCCTAAACCCTAAGCCCTAAACCCTAAACCCTTTAAGGTTTCAGACCTTAGGGTTCCGGGGCTGAGGGCGCAGGGGGCCTCATCATTTCGGGGCGAGGGTTTGGGATTTACGGCCTCTCCATTTTGGGGGGGGGTCCCTCATGCATACGCCGTGGAGGTGGCCAGGTGACTCCCAGCGGCTGGATGGCCTCAGCCCCGGTCTGTTCGAAGCTTGTGGGCTTAGGGTTTAGGGTTTAGGGTTTAGGGTTTAGGGTTCAGGGTTCAGGGTTTAGGGTTTAGGGTTTAGGGTTTAGGGTTTAGGGTTTAGGGTTTAGGGTTTAGGGTTTAGGGTTTAGGGTTTAGGGGCTTTAGGGTTTAGGGCTTAAGGGCCCTGAACCACCAGGCTAGAGCAAGCATGTAGGAGCCAGGCTCACTGAATGGAAGTTGGGCCGTGTATACTATACCAATACAGGATATGATTGGCTAACCCCCCTGGTTGGTAGTAGGGAATGAGCGAATTAGGTACCTTATACCCCCTACATATACCCTCTAAGGGATGATACCTCATTCCCCCATTCCCTACTAAGAACGAGTAAGCCACTGCTTTAGCTCATGTCTTTGATGTTCCTACTGCTGAGAGGTCGAAACTTCGCCCCTTGCACGACCGGTGACCAGGACCAGGCGGAAGAGAAGTATGGGGTTTAGGGTTTAGGGTTTAGGGGTTAGGGTATAGGGTTTAGGGTTTAGGGTTAGGTTTTAGAGGGGCAAAACCCTTCTTCGGGTGACTCGCTGCCATACTGAAGGAGAAGAGAGGGTTTAGGGGTAGGGGGTTGAGGGTTGAGGGCGTTGGGGCCCAGAGGGGTTAGGGGCTTTGGGGTTTTGGGGTGTTTAAAGGCCTTTGGGTTTGGAGTTTGAGGTTTGGGGATGTGGGTTCAATAGCCCAACCCGAAGAGCCACGCAGCCTCATACCTTACAACGAGGTTCCCCGCCACCCTAGTTGTTTTAAAACAGGGCTTCGGGTGCAGGGTTCAGATCCTTTAACCCCTAAACCCTAAACCCTAAACCCCCTGAAAGAACGAGCAAGACCCCGAACCCAGGACTGGACCCCAGGCCGACGTTCAACTCGGGTGCGGTCGGGTTTAGGGATCAGACTTCAACACGTCCTCAAGATCATGGGGGACAAGGATATAATTTTTGATTTAAAAAAAGAAAAAACGGGTCCCCTACTTAAGAACTAGGGGAAAACAGCAATGAAATTGGTGCCCAGCCAAATTGCCAGCATAACGATGCCTTCCCCTCTGGAGGCCCCGGCATCCATCAGTAGTCGATGGCTCGCCGGGTCTTCGAGCTCTGTGTGCCTCGAAACCGGTAAAAAGAAAACCCTGAACTTCAACGGGTTACGGTTTAGGGTGTAGGGTTTAGGGTTTAGGGTGTTTCTGGTTTAGGGTTTAGGGTTTAGGGTTTAGGGTTTTTTCTGGTTTAGGGTTTAGGGTTTAGGGTTTGGGGTTTAGGGTTTGGGGTTTAGGGTTTAGGGTTTAGGGTTTAGGGTTTAGGGTTTAGGGTTTAGGGTTTAGGGTTTAGGGTTTAGGGTTTAGGGTTTAGGGTTTAGGGTTTAGGGTTTAGGGTTTAGGGATGCAGGCCAGACCTCAAGACGATCGCTTCATTCTCCAAAAGCAAAGGAAGACAAAGATCCAAGTACTTCAAGAACAAATTCCATAAGTTCAACTCTTGGCCAAGTACGTACAGTACGTATGGCCCTCAACCCTCACCTCTAAACCCAAATACTGAACACTGAACTCCCAAAAAGATCCCCTCTACGGTCCAACATGGCTTGGAAAGGCGTGTGCCGGGGTGTAGGGAGATGTACGGTTAGGGTGTAGGGTTTTAGGGCTTAGGGCTTGAGGGTTTTAGGGTCTTAGGGTTTTAGGGTTGTAGGGCTTGCTTGTTTAGGGGTTTGTGGGGTTTGTGGGGTTTGTGGGGTTTGTGGGTTTGTGGGGTTGTAGGGCTTTAGAATTTAAACCCTAAACCGACCCCATAAGCCCGAACACGGCAAGTCCATGGAAAAGACAGTCGACCTGTTCACTGCGGAAGGAGCCCTCTTTAGACCTCCCTTGGCAACGTCCCATGTGATGTGCTGTAGGCTGCGACCTGCACGTGCAGAAGTCTAAAGGGTCTAAAGGCCGAAAGGAAATAAACGGATTGAGGTAGATGCACCTGGGGGCCGTCATGTGCCGAGATGCTCATGGTGCTCATCATCTTGGCATTGAGCATGGGGAGGGACACGCTCTTGACCTCACATCGGATTCATTCGTACCCTCTTGAAATCCCAAAAACTCATGTTTTGTGGAGGTACTGTAGGGATCGGAACATTATTAATAGAACTCTAATGGTCCCTATATTATTATACCGGAATAATACTCCGCAAAACCCTCTTCTAATCATTAAGGCTCCTGTACTAGATGGTATCCCCAAACAATATGCGAAGCCCTCGTGGGGGGCCTTGGGTGCTCCAAGCGGGATTCTCCATTGCTTCAGCGCGGAGCACTCTGCACCAGAGCGCAACCACTGGCGAGTGCAGGCGAGGTGCGAGCTCCTCCATCTTCGAGTGATCTTCCCGCTTCACCTTCAGGCCAGTCAGTGGGGGTCGTAGGGCTTCAAGCCAGATCATACAGCATGATCGCAAAACGCCGGGGCCCATTCACAAAACCGAACGGAGCCCGGATGTTTTGTGACCATGTGTTTTGATGCCCTCCGCTTGGCGAGCATGGCTTCGCTGAGGCTTTTGCAGTCTAGGCTTGCGGTTGGAGTCCTGGGTTTCGAGCTTGGGGGAGTCTGAAAACCGAAGGCTGTCGTTTACCTGAAACTCACCCAGCTCGTCATCATCATCTCCTTCTTTATGTTGCGAGGGACACCAGTACGTCAACGGACAATTGACTTTCCAAATCCAGCGACTAGAAGCTAAGACAAACGAAAGGTTGTGATCCTGGACACTTTGCAACCAAGAGCCTTAAGCCCTCCCCCCTTTTCGGCACCCCTTTTAAGCACCGCCACTCAGGCACCCCCCTTAAGCACGCCCACATAAGCACCCCACCTAAGAAAAGAAAACCCTTTCACACCAGCCTTCAGGGACGCGCGGGCGCCCGTCTGCGGCGCCACGCTGGTGGCGTGGTTCCGGTTGGGACTCATCCTTGTGCCCGGGGCTTCTCAGGGGCGTTGGAGATGCAACCGTGGTTTTTAAGGGGGCCTTAGGGCTTTTGGGTGCCTCAGGGCTTCAGAGTTTTCAGGGTTGTTTTAAGGGCTGCGGGCTTAAGGGGGGTTTTGGGGCTTCAGAGGGTTTGAAGGCGATGCGCTTGGTCGTTATTGCCCGGAGTTCTCATGCGTCAGGTTTTGCGGTAGTCACGTCCCCTGGACTCCGGCAAGAACGAAGCTGAACAGTGGAAATGAGATTGCAATCTAAGACATGCATTGACACTCAACCTTGTTCGTGTCGGCTACGGCCTTGATGCTCCTGAGTTACGACTCTCATGCAACAAACAGAATGCTCACCTCCAAAACACCTGCCGAAGGAGAAACGTCGGTTTGTCCCACAAGAGGGCAGCGGTGGTCCGAAGGACCATCGTTGCGTCTTCTGGCTGTCGGAACGGGAAGATGGTAACCGAAGCAAGGGGGCCCAGCATTTCAGGTTTCAGGGCTTAGAGCTTCAGGAGGTTCGCGGTATTCTTGCTGAGGATCCTGGGGTTCTAGGGGGCTTGGGTTTTAGCTTTTTGCGGGGAGAGCGTTCGGGTTTGCAGGGTCCACGTCTGCCAGGGCTTTCGGCGTTAAGGGGTTCATTCTTTGTGGTGTCAAGGAAGGATAAATTCAGGGTAGTTACATGGTCCCATAGCATTGTTATAGGGCCCTTAAGGATCTTATGGGGGGGGGGGGGGGGGGGTAGGCCTCATGAGACCCCCCCTCCCTTAAAATCCTTATAAAGATGTCTTCAAGAAACTGCAAGGAGTTTTTCCACCCTAGAGGTGGCGAATGTCCCCCCAAGCTTTGCAAGGAGAAACCAACTGCGGCCCAGCATCGGGGAGACGGGCTCGAAGGCTGGGATACCTAAGCCACTCGGCTGCTGGCCCGGTTGAGGGCTTAGGGTTTAGGACTTAGGGAACCCTACAACCCTAAAGCAGTCTCTATAAGCTTCTTTGCTGCTCAGAGGTGGTTGCTAGACATCTTCGTGGGAGTGTCGAGCTTCTGGGCTGCGGGCGCTTGGGGTTGAACGCAGTACCGAAGGATCTAAGCATCTGGGTGCAGAAAGAAGGGCTTTGGAGTTCGACATGCTTGCTTGGTCTCGGGTTCGGCTCATGTTGCCGACGAGCCCTGGGTGGCTTCGAGGGCGTTAAACTTATGATGTCTACTCTGCCCAAACCCCTTACACCCAAAAACCCTCAACCCTCAAACCCCCAAAACCCTACAAGCCCTCAACCCTCAAACCCCCTAAAACCCTAGAAGCCCTCAACCCTCAAACCCCGGAAAACCCTAGAAGCCCTCAACCCTCAAACCCCGGAAAACCCTAGAAGCCCTAAACTGGCCCGAAACTGCAACAGCTTCCCTGGCGGCAAGGCCGCGACCGTAGAAGCTCCCCCCACTCGCCCTTGAGAGGCCCAAGCCGAGCCCCGAACCCTAACCCCCAAACTCCAAACTCTAAACTCTAAACCCTAAACCCTAAACCCTAAACCCTAAACCCAGTAGCAGATCCGAAGCGCGCGCGCATGGGGTTTTCTAGGATTTAGAGGGTTTTGGGGCTTGAGGTTTAGGGGGTTGAGCCGTTTTGAGGTTTTGGGGTTTTGGGGTTTTTGGGGTTTTGGAGTTTTGGGGTTTTGGGGGTTTGGGGGTTTTGGGGTTTTTTGGGGTTTTGGGGTTCTGGGGTTTTGGGGTGTTTTGGGTTTTTTGGGGTTTTTTGGGGTTTAGGCTTCAGGGCTCCGAATGAGTTCCCTCTGTTGGCTGAGCCGCTCCGGGCTTCGCGGAGGACAAGTGCCTGGTTGTGCTCGGGGAGGTCCTGCCAATGTCAAACTTCTTGCATCACTCACTAAAGTTCCTTCGTTGTTGTTTAGGGTTTAGGGTTTAGGGTTTAGGGTTTAGGGATTTAGGATTTAGGGTTTAGGGTTTAGGGTTTAGGGTTTAGGGTTTAGGGTTTAGGGTTTAGGGTTTAGGGTTTAGGGTTTAGGGTTTAGGGTTTAGGGTTTAGGGTTTAGGGTTTAGGGTCCAGGGCTTGTGCTCTAGAAGCGTAACATGTACTGCATTGCACACTGTGACATGAAAGGCACCGCAGTTACAAATCAAAAATTGCAATGTTGAAGGTTCAATGAACTAGCAAGACCTGACAACCACCTTTCCTGCATCCTGGTCAGTACAGCGCCGAAAGACACGAAAACGTAATCGTAAACCACATGTACCGACCACATGCGGGCCGTGGTACCCCGCGATTGCGTAAAATCCAAACCCGATACCCATGACCATTAACCCGTACCCGATACCCATGACCATTAAACCCTATCGAAGCACAGAAACCCAAAAACCCCCTGGGCCATGAACCCTAAAACCACAGAATTCTTGGGTTTAGGGTTTAGGGTTTAGGGTTTAGGGTTTAGGGTTTAGGGTTTAGGGTTTAGGGTTTGGGGTTTGGGGTTTAGGGTTTAGGGTTTAGGGTTTAGGGTTTAGGGTTTAGGGTTTAGGGTTTAAGGTGAGCCCTAAGCCGTGTAGGGGTTATGGTGCCCTGCCTGCTCGACCTCCGCTATGTCGAGCGCAAGGATCACCTTCTCAAGACATGTCAAGACGAGGCTTGGCGTGTGCTCACGGAAAGGGCGGTTTAGGGTGCAAGGGCTACCCAAAGCACCCAAAAGACGAGTCCAACCGTGAGGCCCTTAACCCTAAGCCAGGGCTCTAACGCCCTAAACCCGAAACCCTAAACCCTAAACATCCCTAAACCCTAAACCCTACACCCTACGCCCCAAACCCTCAAAAACCTAACCCCTAAACCCCCTGAGTCGCCAGAAGAAAAAAAAAGTGCGCCCCCCCCCCCCCCCGGGCGCTGTCGAGGAGCCCAGTCCGCTGGATCCAGGAGCTGCTCCAGTGCGCAGAACCTCCAACGACAAAGGTTTAGGGGCTTCAGGGGTTTCAGGGGTTTAGGGTCTAGGGAATAGGGGTTTAGGGGTTAGGGAATAAGGGTTTAGGGGTTTAGGGGTTTAGGGGTTTAGGGTTTGGGGTCTAGGGTCTAGGTTCTTTGGTTTAGGTGCTTAGGGGTTGAGGTTAGGAGTTTCGGGGTTTAGACTTCCTAGTTATTCTAAAGAAGGTGTAGGGGTTCGTGGTTTGTTGTTGTTATGGACTCCTTCTTTGGGAGGGGAGGGGAGACGTGTGCATTAAGAAGTCAGCTAATGCAGAGTTCGAAGTGCCTGAATCGAATCCCAGCTAAACCATATGTGCTATGTTTAGAGGCTTCAGACAGCTTTTCCCAGATAAAAAGCGATGTCGGGTTCAGGTAGTGAAACAACCCCTGAGCCCGAGGCAACCGCGAACACGGAACCGTAAGCGCGAGACTTACAGGCTGAGCTTCCTTTTGGCTTAACCCCGGAGCCCTAAACCCTGAAACCCTCAGCCCGAAACCCCAAATAACCCCAAACCCTACTTGGAGGTTCATGGGTACCTAACTAGGGTTTTCAGTATGGCAATTATGCTGATAACCTCATTTAGGGTACTTTTAAACCCTCTCCGCCTTGGGCGGCCCCCCATGTCCCCTCGCTTTCCGAAGCGGTGCTCGAACTGGCGGCCGTTGCCACCCACCCAGAGGACGCCTGAGCTTTAGGCTTGGGGTTTGGGGGGTGGTTCTAAGTTTCTTGGGAGGTCTAGGGGTTTAGGGTTTGGGGGGATTTTACAGTTTTGGGGGGTCTAGGGCGGTCTACCAGTGGGATGCCTGTGCGTGCAGGATGAATGAGGCATACAGGCTGTGGCCCCGTCTGGGATTCGCAGACTCTAGCAGCTACAAGTAGACCACTAGCGGCTACTTGTAGCCTACTAGTAGCTACAAGCAGCTTACATGCAGCTTACATGCAGCTTACATCACACAACAATTCGAAAAACTTTTTTGGGCACATCTGCAATCAGCCTCACGAGCCTCCTGCTAAGTCGACAAGTACCAGTCATCACTGGTCAAATCATGCAAAGGGAAAGGGGAAAAGTTGCTGTTGGGACATCACGTCACAGGCCAGGAGATATGCCATCCCAGCATGGAACAATAGAAGCGAGCGGCTTAACTTTGACACAGCGGTCTAAGGAAGCTATGTCACCAGAGACCCGAAGAACCCAAGCCCAGACCTTAGAATGATTATTAAACTGTCTCGAACAAGTGAGTCCGGACTGATTTCCGAACCCGAATGACTTCATGTGTCTAATACCTACAATGTGTTCAGCAGCGACACAATGTTTGGACAACACTTCGAAAAACAGCTACTTCATAGTAACGGCACCTGCCACACTACTTCCTTAGCAAGACCATTTTGACTGTCTGGGACCGGTATGTTTGCCAAAAATGTACCGTGGCAGGGCATGGTACTGCGAAACCTCACTCACAAATTTCTATTCAAGCAAGGTAGGTGGGTGGCTCCTGGGTAGGTGGATGTAGGTAGGTGGTAGGAGGGTAAGTAGGGTAGGTGGTAGGTGGATGTCGGTAGGGTTGTAATTGGTTAGCTTTAGATAGCTTTAGGGCTGGGCTTAGCTAGATTGGGGTTGGGTTTGGTTAGCCATTGGTCTGGTGTTGGGTGGAGGTGTAGGGCCCTAAACCCTACACCCTTAACCCTGCCCCAGCCTCGCACACTGACACCCTTGTCTGGGCCGCTGATGAACAGGGAGCAGGGTGAGGCTGCCCCGGCAGACTCCTCGGGTCATGGGCTTCAGGGTTCCTTCCCACCCCCAAACCCAAACACAGCAAACGGGTGCAGGCGCAGCCCTAAACTGCAGAGGTCGCCAAGCTTGCACTCTGAAACCCCTCTACGCCAGAGGCACCCCTTCAACCCTTCTCTTGCCCCATCAAAAACACACACCCCCGACTGTCAACCCTCCACCTTCAACCATCAACCCTCAAACCTCCACCCTCCACCCTAAACTCCCTAAACCCTCAACCTCCGGGCGCCCGACACAGCCCTTGGGATAGAAATGGAACTGGAGGCGCTCCAGGCCGCCCGCGCTGAAGACCGGGCTGTCCACGGCCTCCCAAACAAGGATCGAGGGGTTCGGGGTAGAACTGAGGAGACACATGATCCTTTGTTTGTTCAATAAGGTTTAGGGTTTAGGGTTAAGGGTTTGGGGTTAAGGGTTTGGGGTTAAGGGTTTGGGGTTTTTTATGTTTTAGGTTGAGCTTGTCGCGGACGTGTCAGATGGGAAGCCAACGGAGGCTGCGGCGCCTCCTTTACTTGGAGCTTCCCTTTGTCGAGTCAAGCTCATGGATGGCTGCGTTCATTTGCGCACCCCTCACAGGCCGAGGTTCTGAACGACCCCTAGATAAGTGTGTACAACATATGTGTATATATAGGACTTGGAGTTTCTGGGTTTCAGCAGTCTCGAGCAGCAGTGTATGTAACTATATTCACACAAACGGGTTTAGGGATTGTTCTGACTTATGGGCCCTTTGTTAAACGCAAGACTATCATGCAGACTACGCGACAACTCAATGGAGACGTCCACGGAAGGACCCCATGTCACTTCTCTACATTTCATTTGGGGGTCACTACTGTAAGGCGGCCCCTACAAGGAATCAAAATTTTGAGCAATGACCATATAAACTCAAGCCCAAGATCCACCTTTGATGCGAAGGTTCCATTGGCTTCCGAAGTCCACGAAGGCAAAACGTGGCCCCAGCATGCAAGCAACACACATATCCACAAACAAACTCACAAATAACCCGTATCACATGTGATCTGTAATTGCACTTCCCCTAAACCCTAAACCCTATGGGGGCCCCACTTGGGAGGGGTTTGAGATGAGGGGTGCAAGGGATGATCAGCGCGTTGGAGAACAGGTTTGGCGCCTCGCCGACCTTGCAGAAGTCGAGGAGCCTGCCGGGTTGCACATGTCCAGGCTAATAATAACCATAATGATGATAAGAAACATGGTAGCAATAGAGTAGTTGGAGGAGGACTAGCGCTTAGCAAGTACACCATTGCCCACAAGAAGAAGCATAAGCAAAAAAGAAAAAAGAGCTCTGTGCCCACTCCATGGAGGGGGTATTCCTGATAGCCTAGGTCCCCAAAATACTTGCCTCGGCCTGCCCTGTGGGGTTTTTGCCCCCAGTCGTTACCCCTCCCAACCACCCAGCGACCAGGACACCTTTCTTGGAGAAACCGGCTCTTGCTTAGGGCTTCCCTACACCCTCAACCTATAGCATTCACGGGCCTGCTGCAGCCTTCCACGCGCCACTCCACTCGTCGCACCGACCTGCAGCCAGCACCCCCTGAAACACCACACTCCTGAGACCTGAAACCCTAAGCCACGAAGTTATGAAGCCTTGTCGTTCTAAGAACATGGTTTAACTTGGTATCGAAAGCATTCACGTCATCCCACACATACCTTGCAGCAAAATGCAACAACTGGCGATACAGTTATGAAAGACCACGGCCTTAGTTCAAACTTCCCTTGACTTTCAAAAGACACACGACGGTGAAGTCAAGGGATTCTGTACGCTCGACCTCTGCAGCCCCCTACCACAAGTGCATGGTATCGAACCCCTACCTACCGTACAACACCGAAACCCGGCTTGGAACCTCCTCTCGGAAAGGGGGCCTATCTAATTAATATAATGAGTATTGTAGCCAACGTATTCTTTTAAGCGCAGGAAAACAATTTCCTAGAAGGGGATATATAGAATGTAGAGAATGCGAGGCTCCTGCACTTTACCAGTATGACTTGGTGTCTTGGACGGGGAACCCCGTGGAAGCGCGGCCTGTTGCGGATACTCACGAGATCTTTCTGTAGCCGCTCGTGCAACAGCAGCTCCTGATCTGCAGCTTCAGTTCTAGGGTGCTTAAGGTGGGTTCGAGGGGGGTATGTAACCCAAGGTTCCCTAGTACTCCGCAGTACTCCCGGAGGCTCCCTAAGCTTCCCTAAGGTTCCCTAGGTCCCCGTCCCTACCCCCCTTGAACGCCCCTCCCTTAAGAACCCTACAGTTCCGACCCTACGCGCGAAGCACAAAACCGCAACCACGAAAGAAAGCAGCACCAGAAGCCTCGCAAAGCAAAAGAAAACATATCAATTCAGCCCTGAACTCGAGAAGCCTGGGCTGTGGTGGGCTGTGAGCTGTTCAGGGCAGCGATGTTATTACGGGGGTGTATCGATCAAGACTTTGAAACGTAGACGTGGGAAGAGCCGGCCTCACGTGACGTCCAAGTATCCGAACCAAGGGATTTAGAGCCGACTTCTGTTCACTGGACGACACTGCCATCAGCTATCACAGGACATTGTGGCACTAGAGACCCTGCTAGCTACTTGCATACGCATGCATCTGTACTCATAGCCAGTGCCCTGGCACGAAACAAGAATCTCAGGTCTGAAGGTTTACGGACTGCACGAGTGATTACCGTGCCTGAAGCCCTGGAGCCCTCGAGAAGAAGCAATAAGCTTCAACACGCGCCTTTGCTTTCTGAAGTTACGAAGCTACGTAGCTGTGAGTAGCAATTCCGTTCCCTCCGTCATGAATTCCACTGACCCCACGAACCCCACCTCGCCCCCCTAACAACACTAAACTCCGAAATCTCACCCTAAACCCCAAACCGTAAACCCCAAACCCTAAACCCCTAAACCCCTAGACCCTGAACAACCCCTTGCAGTCACCAAGGCGCCGCCGTTGCCGAGCGCGTGAAGAACATGCTATCTTCTGGGGGTGGTGCCTCTTCGGCACCTTGGGTCGGTGAAGGTTTAGGGTTTAGGGTTTAGGGTTTAGGGTTTAGGGTTTAGGGTTTAGGGTTTAGGGTTTAGGGTTTAGGGTTTAGGGTTTAGGGTTTAGGGTTTAGGGTTAGGTTTAGGGTTTAGGGTTTAGGGTTTAGGGTTTAGGGTTTAGGGTTTAGGGTTTAGGGTTTAGGGTTTAGGGTTTAGGGTTTAGGGTTAGGGTTTAAGGTTCCCAGACCCCAAATAGGTAATAAACGTATCGACTGGCCGCAATTCCCAACAACGGGGTAGTCCTACCCCTGAACTACCCCAAAATACAATAATCCGTATTGCAGGAACCCCAAGACGGGCACAACCCTACTTTTTTGGGAACCTTGAAGACTTAGGGTTTAGGCTTTTTCGGGTTTAGGCGGTTTAGGGCTTAACAGCCTTGAAAAACTGCACAGGCCTGAGAAGCCAACTTAAACCGAAAAACCTCAACTAAACCCACCCGATGCCTCAAAGTATGTGAACAGCGCCACCTTGAAAAAACACAAAACCAAGAGCCTACACGCTAGCCAAAAAGCTTGCCTAAAGCCTACCTTTGGAGTGATCCTGATGCTGAAAACATGTTAAACCCATCAATGATTGAGGAACTTTTCCTACTTCCTCTCAAAGCACGAAAGTCTTCAGACACAGGACCAGGCTCTATTGCTAGGGTTTGGGGTTTAGGGTTTAGGGTTTGGGGTTTGGGGTTTTGGGTTTTGGGTTTTGGGGTTTACTTGCCACATGTTTGTACCTGACGTGCTCCTGGAACAATCTTGCATGAGTCTGGTTTTGTACACGGGGCCTCACCTAAACTAGACTAGCCCGATCTATCCACCCCTCAAGTGGCTAAAGCTCGAAACCCTCTACATCCCGTAAAAGGGCTCAAATCCGCGGAGCACCTAAGGACCTAAAGTGCCTGAAATTATGACTAGGCGCCAGCGCCCTCCGCCGGCGGCTCTTCCCCATCGGCCGGTGCTTCCGTGGGGGCCTGCGAGCTGTGGCTCTTCTCCTCGCCGAGCTTACGGAGTTTGGTGGTTCGGGCGCAGAGAAATGGCGCGCGGCGCCCGATGAACAAGTGGATGTAAGGGTCTAGTAGGGGTTGCTCCTTGTGAGTCAGGCTGCCTTTCCGGAGACTTTGTTCATCTTCTGGAAAAGGTATCTCTGGGGGATTCAGCGGCTTGCGGGATCAGCCTGAAGCGAAAACAAAAACATGAGTGGCCCATGGCGGAACATGGCACCAAGCATCATGAGCATCAGCTGGGACAGCCCCGAGCCTTTCAGGAGCATCATGGGCAGCGGCCCTGGTTTTCCGGGAACTGCCTCGCCCCAAAGCCCAAGCATCATGAGCATCAGCCGCTAAGCCTGAGCAACCTTGTCACCCTAAGGCCCAAGCATCATGAGCATCAGCTGGGACAGCCCCGAGCCTTTCGGAGCATCATAGGCAGCGGCCCTGGTTTTCCGGGAACTGCCTCGCCCCAAAGCCCAAGCATCATGAGCATCAGCCGCTAAGCCCGAGCAACCTTGTCACCCTAAGGCCCAAGCATCATGAGCATCAGCTGGGACAGCCCCGAGCCTTTCAGGAGCATCATGGGCAGCGGCCCTGGTTTTCCGGGAACTGCCTCGCCCCAAAGCCCAAGCATCATGAGCATCAGCCGCTAAGCCCGAGCACCTTGTTCACCCTAAGGCCCAAGCATCATGAGCATCAGCTGGGACAGCCCCGAGCCTTTCAGGAGCATCATGGGCAGCGGCCCTGGTTTTCCGGGAAACTGCCTCGCCCCAAAAGCCCAAGCATCATGAGCATCAGAGGCTAAGCCCGAGCAACCTTGTCACCCTAAGGCCCAAGCATCATGAGCATCAGCTGGGACAGCCCCGAGCCTTTCAGGAGCATCATGGGCAGCGGCCCTGGTTTTCCGGGAACTGCGTCGCCAAAAAGCCCAAGCATCATGAGCATCAGCCGCTAAGCCCGAGCAACCTTGTCACCCTAAGGCCCAAGCATCATGAGCATCAGCTGGGACAGCCCCGAGCCTTTCAGGAGCATCCGGGAACTGCCTCGCCCCAAAGCCCAAGCATCATGAGCATCAGCCGCTAAGCCCGAGCAACCTTGTCACCCTAAGGCCCAAGCATCATGAGCATCAGCTGGGACAGCCCCGAGCCTTTCAGGAGCATCATGGGCAGCGGCCCTGGTTTTCCGGGAACTGCGTCGCCACAAAGCCCAAGCATCATGAGCATCAGCCGCTAAGCCCGAGCAACCTTGTCACCCTAAGGCCCAAGCATCATGAGCATCAGCTGGGACAGCCCCGAGCCTTTCAGGAAGCATGTCATGGGCCGGCCCTGGTTTTCCGGGAAAAACGGCCTCGCCCCAAAGCCCAAGCATCATGAGCATCAGCCGCTAAGCCCGAGCAACCTTGTCACCCCAAGGCCCAAGCATCATGAGCATCAGCTGGGACAGCCCCGGGCCTTTCAGGAGCATCATGGGCAGCGGCCCTGGTTTTCTGGGAACTGCCTCGCCCCAAAGCCCAAGCATCATGAGCATCAGCCGCTAAGCCCGAGCAACCTGTCACCCCAAGGCCCAAGCATCACGAGCCTTTCAGGAGCATCATGGGCAGCGGCCCTGGTTTTCCGGGAACTGCCTCGCCCCAAAGCCCAAGCATCATGAGCATCAACCGCTAAGCCCGAGCAACCTTGTCACCCCAAGGCCCAAGCATCATGAGCATCAGCTGGGACAGCCCCGAGCCTTTCAGGAGCATCATGGGCAGCGGCCCTGGTTTTCTGGGAACTGCCTCGCCCCAAAGCCCAAGCATCATGAGCATCAGCCGCTAAGCCCGAGCAACCTGTCACCCCAAGGCCCAAGCATCATGAGCATCAGCTGGGACAGCCCCGAGCCTTTCAGGAGCATCATGGGCAGCGGCCCTGGTTTTCTGGGAACTGCCTCGCCCCAAAGCCCAAGCATCATGAGCATCAGCCGCTAAGCCCGAGCAACCTGTCACCCCAAGGCCCAAGCATCATGAGCATCAGCTGGGACAGCCCCGAGCCTTTCAGGAGCATCATGGGCAGCGGCCCTAGTTTTCCGGGAACTGCCTCGCCCCAAAGCCCAAGCATCATGAGCATCAGCCGCTAAGCCCGAGCAACCTTGTCACCCTAAGGCCCAAGCATCATGAGCATCAGCCCAAGCATCATGAGCATCAGCCGCTAAGCCCGAGCAACCTTGTCACCCTAAGGCCCAAGCATCATGAGCATCAGCTGGGACAGCCCCGAGCCTTTCAGACATCATAGGCAGCGGCCCTGGTTTTTCCCGTGAACGGCCTCGGCCCCAAAGCCCAAGCATCATGAGCATCAGCCGCTAAGCCCGAGCACCTTGTCACCCTAAGGCCCAAGCATCATGAGCATCAGCTGGGACAGCCCCGAGCCTTTCAGGAGCATCATGGGCAGCGGCCCTGGTTTTCCGGGAACTGCGTCGCCAAAAAGCCCAAGCATCATGAGCATCAGCCGCTAAGCCCGAGCAACCTTGTCACCCTAAGGCCCAAGCATCATGAGCATCAGCTGGGACAGCCCCGAGCCTTTCAGGAGCATCATGGGCAGCGGCCCTGGTTTTCCGGGAACTGCATCGCCAAAAAGCCCAAGCATCATGAGCATCAGCCGCTAAGCCCGAGCAACCTTGTCACCCTAAGGCCCAAGCATCATGAGCATCAGCTGGGAAAGTTTCGAGCCTTTCAGGAGCATCATGGGCAGCGGCCCTGGTTTTCCGGGAACTGCATCGCCAAAAAGCCCAAGCATCATGAGCATCAGCCGCTAAGCCCGAGCAACCTTGTCACCCTAAGGCCCAAGCATCATGAGCATCAGCTGGGACAGCCCCGAGCCTTTCAGGAGTATCATGGGCAGCGGCCCTGGTTTTCCGGGAACTGCGTTGCCAAAAAGCCCAAGCATCATGAGCATCAGCCGCTAAGCCCGAGCAACCTTGTCACCCTAAGGCCCAAGCATCATGAGCATCAGCTGGGACAGCCCCGAGCCTTTCAGGAGCATCATGGGCAGCGGCCCTGGTTTTCCGGGAACTGCGTCGCCAAAAAGCCCAAGCATCATGAGCATCAGCCGCTAAGCCCGAGCAACCTTGTCACCCTAAGGCCCAAGCATCATGAGCATCAGCTGGGACAGCCCCGAGCGTTTCGGAGCATCATGGGCAGCGGCCAGGTTTTCCGGGAACTGCGCCCCAAAGCCCAAGCATCATGAGCATCAGCCGCTAAGCCCGAGCAACCTTGTCACCCCAAGGCCCAAGCATCATGAGCATCAGCTGGGACAGCCCCGAGCCTTTCAGGAGCATCATGGGCAGCGGCCCTGGTTTTCCGGGAACTGCCTCGCCCCAAAGCCCAAGCATCATGAGCATCAGCCGCTAAGCCCGAGCAACCTTGTCACCCTAAGGCCCAAGCATCATGAGCATCAGCTGGGACAGCCCCGAGCCTTTCAGGAGCATCCGGGAACTGCCTCGCCCCAAAGCCCAAGCATCATGAGCATCAGCCACAAGGTTGCTCGGGCTTAGCGGCTGATGCTCATGATGCTTGGGCTTTGGGGCGAGGCAGTTCCCGGAAAACCAGGGCCGCTGCCCATGATGCTCCTGAAAGGCTCGGGGCTGTCCCAGCTGATGCTCATGATGCTTGGGCCTTAGGGTGACAAGGTTGCTCGGGCTTAGCCTCTGATGCTCATGATGCTTGGGCTTTTTGGCGAGGCAGTTCCCGGAAAACCAGGGCCGCTGCCCATGATGCTCCTGAAAGGCTCGGGGCTGTCCCAGCTGATGCTCATGATGCTTGGGCCTTAGGGTGACAAGGTTGCTCGGGCTTAGCCACCCCAAGGCCCAAGCATCATGAGCATCAGCTGGGACAGCCCCGAGCCTTTCAGGAGCATCATGGGCAGCGGCCCTGGTTTTCCGGGAACTGCCTCGCCAAAAAGCCCAAGCATCATGAGCATCAGCCGCTAAGCCCGAGCAACCTTGTCACCCCAAGGCCCAAGCATCATGAGCATCAGCTGGGACAGCCCCGAGCCTTTCAGGAGCATCATGGGCAGCGGCCCTGGTTTTCTGGGAACTGCCTCGCCCCAAAGCCCAAGCATCATGAGCATCAGCCGCTAAGCCCGAGCAACCTGTCACCCCAAGGCCCAAGCATCATGAGCATCAGCTGGGACAGCCCCGGCCTTTCAGGAGCATCATGGGCAGCGGCCCTGGTTTTCCGGGAACTGCCTCGCCCCAAAGCCCAAGCATCATGAGCATCAGCCGCTAAGCCCGAGCAACCTTGTCACCCCAAGGCCCAAGCATCATGAGCATCAGCTGGGACAGCCCCGAGCCTTTCAGGAGCATCATGGGCAGCGGCCCTGGTTTTCCGGGAACTGCCTCGCCCCAAAGCCCAAGCATCATGAGCATCAGCCGCTAAGCCCGAGCAACCTTGTCACCCCAAGGCCCAAGCATCATGAGCATCAGCTGGGACAGCCCCGAGCCTTTCAGGAGCATCATGGGCAGCGGCCCTGGTTTTCCGGGAACTGCGTCGCCCCAAAGCCCAAGCATCATGAGCATCAGCCGCTAAGCCCGAGCAACCTTGTCACCCCAAGGCCCAAGCATCATGAGCATCAGCTGGGACAGCCCCGAGCCTTTCAGGAGCATCATGGGCAGCGGCCCGGGTTTTCCGGGAACTGCCTCGCCCCAAAGCCCAGGCATCATGAGCAGCAGCAGGGACCCCTATCACAACATAGACAACTACCCACCACCCACATGGAGCTTCCGAGAATGAGGGGTACCTCATTTGGGATCCCTTAGAATGAAGGCTATTGTGGCAATGTACAAGTGGAACCCCTAATTTGAGGACTACCCCACATTGTCTGTTAAGGCTGCAGCGTCGGACAGCCGGAAACTTCCAGGTTAACATGGCTGGGCCCGATAGGATTTCAGGGCATTGATTAGGTCTTTAAGCAGAATATCGCGGAGATACTGCTGCTCCCTTATATATACCCTGTAAAATGTAAAACTTAAGGGACAATATAAGTACCCGAAGATGTACACAGGGCACTACATCCGAGACCCGCAGCTCTAAACCGTGACCCTCCTAAACCAACAGCAGTCCTCGGCGCCAATCTCTGCGTCCGGAAGCATCAGAAGCTGGGCCACCGGACGGGTCGTAAATTCCTGGGGGCGCGGGGGGGCGGGGGGAGCTGTGCGTTGAAGGCTTCAGGTCGGCGAAAGGCTGCATAAGCATCTCAGCAAAAAGGCCAACCGTAAACCCATCTACAACCTCATGAAGTTCGGTGTGTTGCTTCAGTTTTGTTGGCTGGGCCGGTTTGTTTTCTTTCAATCCTGGGCCAGACCCACGAGGTTTAAGCTTCGAGCTGAGGGCTTAGACCTCCGTCCTTGTTCTGCGTACGACAGGCCTCGGGTTGGGGTATTATATAAGGTTCAGGGTTGCTTCATCCCTAAGCCAGGGGCGGCTGCTCAAATTTCATGAAGTGCTACCAGCTTGCTTGCGTGAAAAAGTTCCCTAAACCCCAAACCCTAAACCCTAAACCCTAAACCCTAAACTGTCTTCCCCAATTTCCTCTTTCAGACTCCGAGCTGTCCACTGCGCTGTGGTGAACGTGGTGCTTAGCTGGACATTCGCGGCCCCCCCCCACGCAGCAGAAGACTTTGAGGCCGAAGGCTCTAAGCGCCACAACTGTCCGTGCTGTCCTAAACCCCCCAAGACTCGGGATTCGCTCTTCTGCCATGCCCTGAACCCGAAGCCCCTGATTCCACCTCAACTTCACAAGCCCCGAAAGTCCTTGAGCGCAAGCCCTGAATCCTAAAACCCCAGCCTTCAAGCAAACTCTTGACAGATCCTAGGAACCTTCACAGAGCACCCCGTAAACCACCCAAAGCCCCTTTAAGAGCAAGGGTGGTCCCTGCGTCCCAGCGGCCAGCAGCTCGAAGGTCACCTGCAGCGAATCGGTGGCGCGAGACCAAACCTGCCAAAGCTTTTGCAAGCTTGAGGCTTTGTGTGGCTAGGGGTTAGGGGGGCGGGGGTTAGGGCGTTAGGGCTTGGGGGGTTTAAGGGTTCAGGGGTCTAGGGCTTTGGGCGTTTCAGGGCATTTAAGAGTTTCAGGGCAGTTGGTGCATGCTTTCGAGTCTTTGTGTTCAGAGCCGGAGCACGGAAGCCTGCCAGATGTTTTAGCCCCACACGCGGGCTTAGGGTTTCGGGATCTGAGGTCCTTCTCATCGTTGAGAAAAAAGTACGGGATCCGGATTTCCTCTACACAACGCCCAACCCCAAACCCAAAAAACCCTAAACCCCAATACCCCAATACCCCAAGCCCTGAAACCCCGAAGCCGAACCGCAACCTCCTCCCACCCGCAAGGTGGCCTGGTCTAGCTGGCAGTAGTTGTGGATTTCGAAGGCAACGCGGCCTGGACCTTCCATTGGGGCTCTTTCGGCTTTAGGGCACGTTGAGGGTGTAGGAGTTAGGGTGTAAGAATAACAGCAGCGAACCAAAAGTGGCAGTGTTCAGGTCAGCATGCTAGCCGACTACTACAGCACCAGGAATTGTTGAAGCCTAAACCGCGCTTAGGGTGTAGGGTTTAGGGGTTGGGGTGTAGTGTTTAGGGTTTAGGGTTTAGGGTTTAGGGTTTAGGGTTTAGGGTTTAGGGTTTAGGGTTTAGGGTTTAGGGTTTACGGTTAGGGTTTAGGGTTTAGGGTGCAGGGTTTAGGGCTTCGACTCTCACACTGACATGCGCGGGCGAGGCAACGAGTAGCAGGTCATGGGCTTTTTTCCATGTCGTGCTGTCAAGACACAGGAACGTCGATCCCTCTAATTCCCTAATAAAAGAGTAGCCGTCACACATTTGGAGTCTCTAAGCACGAAAGCACGTGGGCCCGGCCCTTAGGGGGAACTTTACGTGCACTAACCAAGCTGCGGGAATCTTTTTAACACCCATCAGCTAAAACAAAAAAATGATAAAGGGCTGTCTACGACCGCCTCTAAACCACCTTGACAGTGGGCAGCAGCCGAACTCTCTCCTCCTCCTGCTCAATCTGCTGGCGGGCTTTGCCGTAGAGGATCCCACCCAAGATGGACAAACAGGCACCCAAAATCTGGCCCTCGGTCAGCTCCTTGGTGTGCATGCCAAGGGCCTCGATGGCGATGATGACGAACTTGTTTGCATTGACCATGACCAAAAAGCTCGTGGCGCTGATCAGGCTTTGGGCCCAGATTCCCGTAAAGCCGATGGACAGGCCGATCACACAGCTGAGGCCGATGTAGACCTTGTCCAGGCTTGTGAGGTGCGCATAGGCCCCCGGGAACTGGGACACCTCTCCCGTGAAGTAGGCGGCCAGGCCCACGGGGATTAAGCCCATCATGTTGTTGATCACCGTAATGCCAGTCTTCGAGATGTCTACTGGGTGTTGGTCCTTGGACAAGAGCAGCCTCTGCAGCAAGCGATCGCACACAGCCACCACACTGTTGAGCATGACCCAGCCGATGCCCTCCCAGTGCTCGGCATGGAGCTGAGAGACATACATCGCTGCCCCGGCCATCATGACAAGGACGGCGCCAATCATCTGCCCGCTGATGCGAAGCGGCTCCGGGTAAAACCGCTCAATGAGCAGGGAGAAGAGTGGCGAAGCACTGCGGAGCACGATGACTAGGGACATGGGCGCTTTCTTCAGGGCGAGGATCGAGGTGAGTAGCATCCCACAGAAGGCGGGCACCACAGCGCACCAGCGAAGGAAGTCTCGCATGGAGCCAATGTGCAAGTAGGGGAAGCCGAAGATCAGCATGAAGAAGCCGGCGAAGAAGAGCTGCAGCCAGACCAAGCTACACTCCAAGGGCAGGGCCTGGATCGCCAACTTGTTGAAGAGCAGCATCCCGACGCCCGAGAAGCAGTTGCACGTGCATGCCACGAGGATTTCGAACTGCTGAGTCTGGGGGGATGCCATGCCTCGAACAGAAGGTCTTCGGTAGCGGATGGTAGTTACGAAGGCGGCGTGCTAAGACTTGGGCCAATCAGGCTTGAGCCAAAGGGTTTAAGGTGGTCCACACACTGAAGCCTCGGATGTCTGGGAAGTCGGCGAATTGCTTGTGACTTCTTCTTTTCAGCGAAGGAATCTCTCTCGATCTCTGTCTCAAATACTGAGTGGTCAGCGGTCATCCCTTGTCCCGGCCCAATGGACACACACTCGCAAAATATCCATCATTTCGTTTATGTATACTTGCATCTACAAAAAGCACAAGTCAAACCAGATGTGATTGATTCATTCGTCCTGGCTGTTCCGGCGCTTTCCATTCCAGTGTGCCTGCGTATGTGTATCTATCTATCTGTCTATCTAGATGCAGATACGCCGATGATGCCCTGCGAGCGCGGACGTCACAATAGCTGTCCTGCATCACCTGCCGGATTGCGCTCTCAACCTCAAGGCATAGGTCTTATAGGGTCGCACGGCATAGGATGTAGAGCTTAGGGTTTAGGATGGGAACTCAGCCACAACGCCCTAAGCCCCCTAGAGCCCCTGAAAACCTCGAACCGAAAGCATCCCCTTCCAGAAAAAGTAAAGAATGGAAACCATTTTTTGAACTAACCCTAAACCCTAAACCCTAAACCCTAAACCCTAAACCCTAAACCCTACTTCAAGGAGTCCCGGTGCCTGGCGCCGCCTCTTCGTCCGCTCCCTCGGGCAGCTGAAAGCCTGGGCTTTGGGCTTTGGGCGTTGGGCTTTGGGCTTTGGGGTTTGGGGTTTAGGGTTTAGGGTTTAGGGTTTAGGGTTTCGGGTTTAGGGTTTAGGGTTCTTGGGCTTCCTATAAGGGTTCTGAAGGGTTTTGGGGTTTTTTTTGCAAAGCTCCTACAAAGCTCCTACAGATTTTTGTAAGGGTTTTCAAGAACTAGGGCTTCTGCAAGGGTTCCTTGAGCTTCCTCTAAGGGCTCTGAAGGATTTTGGTGGCTTTTTGTAAGGGTTCTAAAGGGATCCTAAAATTTTTCGTAAGGGCTCTAAAGGTTTCTACAGATTCTTGTAGGGTTCTAAAAGGCTCCTACAGGTTTTTGTTAAGGGTTCTAAAACACTCCTCTTTGGTAAGGGTTCTAAAAGGATCCTGGGGCTTTGTGCAAGGGCTCTACAGGGGGTTCCTAGGGCTTTTTGCAATGGCTCGAAAGGGTTCTTTGGGGTGGCACAGTTCCCCGGAAAACCGAGCCACTGGCCATGATGCTCCGAAAGGCTCTGTCCTGGCTGATGCTCATGATGCTTGGGCCTTGGGTTGCTCGGGCTTCCCGGCTGATGCTCATGATGCTTGGGCTCTGGGGCGAACGCAGTTCCCGCAAAACCGGGCCGCCGCCCATGATGCTCCGCAAGGCTCGGGGCTGTCCCGGCTGATGCTCATGATGCTTGGGCCTTGGGGTGACAAGGTTGCTCGGGCTTCCCGGCTGATGCTCATGACGCTTGGGCTCGGGGGCGAACGCAGTTCCCGCAAAACCGGGCCGCCGCCCATGATGCTCCGAAAGGCTCGGGGCTGTCCCGGCTGATGCTCATGATGCTTGGGCCTTGGGGTGACAAGGTTGCTCGGGCTTCCCGGCTGATGCTCATGATGCTTGGGCTCTGGGGCGAACGCAGTTCCCGCAAAATGGGCCGCCGCCCGTGGTGCGGGGCTGTCCCGGCTGATGCTCATGATGCTTGGGCCTTGGGGTGACAAGGTTGCTCGGGCTTCCCGGCTGATGCTCATGATGCTTGGGCTCTGGGGCGAACGCAGTTCCCGCAAAATGGGCCGCCGCCCATGATGCTCCGCAAGGCTCGGGGCTGTCCCGGCTGATGCTCATGATGCTTGGGCCTTGGGGTGACAAGGTTGCTCGGGCTTCCCGGCTGATGCTCATGATGCTTGGGCTCTGGGGCGAACGCAGTTCCCGCAAAACCGGGCCGCCGCCCATGATGCTCCGAAAGGCTCGGGGCTGTCCCGGCTGATGCTCATGATGCTTGGGCCTTGGGGTGACAGCTTCCCGGCTGATGCTCATGATGCTTGGGCATTGGGGCGAACGCAGTTCACCCCAAGGCCCAAGCATCATGAGCATCAGCCGGGACAGCCCCGAGCCTTTCGGAGCATCATGGGCGGCGGCCCGGTTTTGCGGGAACTGCGTTCGCCCCCGAGCCCAAGCGTCATGAGCATCAGCCGGGAAGCCCGAGCAACCTTGTCACCCCAAGGCCCAAGCATCATGAGCATCAGACGGGACAGCCCCGAGCCTTGCGGAGCATCATGGGCGGCGGCCCATTTTGCGGGAACTGCGTTCGCCCCAGAGCCCAAGCATCATGAGCATCAGCCGGGAAGCCCGAGCAACCTTGTCACCCCAAGGCCCAAGCATCATGAGCATCAGCCGGGACAGCCCCGAGCCTTTCGGAGCATCATGGGCGGCGGCCCGGTTTTGCGGGAACTGCGTTCGCCCCCGAGCCCAAGCGTCATGAGCATCAGCCGGGAAGCCCGAGCAACCTTGTCACCCCAAGGCCCAAGCATCATGAGCATCAGCCGGGACAGCCCCGAGCCTTGCGGAGCATCATGGGCGGCGGCCCATTTTGCGGGACCTGCGTTCGCCCCAGAGCCCAAGCATCATGAGCATCAGCCGGGAAGCCCGAGCAACCTTGTCACCCCAAGGCCCAAGCATCATGAGCATCAGCCGGGACAGCCCCGAGCCTTTCGGAGCATCATGGGCGGCGGCCCGGTTTTGCGGGAACTGCGTTCGCCCCAGAGCCCAAGCATCATGAGCATCAGCCGGGAAGCCCGAGCAACCTTGTCACCCCAAGGCCCAAGCATCATGAGCATCAGCCGGGACAGCCCCGAGCCTTTCGGAGCATCATGGGCGGTGGCCCGGTCGGGCTTCCCGGCTGATGCTCATGACGCTTGGGCTCGGGGGCGAACGCAGTTCCCGCAAAACCGGGCCGCCGCCCATGATGCTCCGAAAGGCTCGGGGCTGTCCCGGCTGATGCTCATGATGCTTGGGCCTTGAGGTGACAAGGTTGCTCGGGCTTCCCGGCTGATGCTCATGACGCTTGGGCTCGGGGGCGAACGCAGTTCCCGCAAAACCGGGCCGCCGCCCATGATGCTCCGAAAGGCTCGGGGCTGTCCCGGCTGATGCTCATGATGCTTGGGCCTTGGGGTGACAAGGTTGCTCGGGCTTCCCGGCTGATGCTCATGACGCTTGGGCTCGGGGGCGAACGCAGTTCCCGGGCAAAACTCGGGCCGGCTGATGCTCATGCCCTTGGTGACAAGGTTGATGCGCTTGGGCTCGGGGGCGAACGCAGTTCCCGCAAAACCGGGCCGCCGCCCATGATGCTCCGAAAGGCTCGGGGCTGTCCCGGCTGATGCTCATGATGCTTGGGCCTTGGGGTGACAAGGTTGCTCGGGCTTCCCGGCTGATGCTCATGACGCTTGGGCTCGGGGGCGAACGCAGTTCCCGCAAAACCGGGCCGCCGCCCATGATGCTCCGAAAGGCTCGGGGCTGTCCCGGCTGATGCTCATGATGCTTGGGCCTTGGGGTGACAAGGTTGCTCGGGCTTCCCGGCTGATGCTCATGACGCTTGGGCTCGGGGGCGAACGCAGTTCCCGCAAAACCGGGCCGCCGCCCATGATGCTCCGAAAGGCTCGGGGCTGTCCCGGCTGATGCTCATGATGCTTGGGCCTTGGGGTGACAAGGTTGCTCGGGCTTCCCGGCTGATGCTCATGACGCTTGGGCTCGGGGGCGAACGCAGTTCCCGCAAAACCGGGCCGCCGCCCATGATGCTCCGAAAGGCTCGGGGCTGTCCCGGCTGATGCTCATGATGCTTGGGCTTGGGGTGACAAGGTTGCTCGGGCTTCCAGGCTGATGTCATGACGCTTGGGCTCGGGGGCGAACGCAGTTCCCGCAAAACCGGGCCGCCTAAAGGCTCGGGGCTGTCCCGGCGAAGATGACAGGTTGCCCTGAACCGAAGCCAGAGTTTGGGCCGGGGGCTGTGGTCGAAGCGGTGGGACACGGCGGCCACGCCATCGCCCAGCGTTATCCTGGCTTCGTGGTTGCAGAAGTTGGGGTTTAGGTTTTTAGGGTTTTGGGTTTAGGGTCCCTGAGCTGAAGCCCTAAACCCCAAACCCTCCCTCTGGCAAGGGGGGGGGGGGGGTGGGTGGGGAGTGTAGGAGGTATTCAAACTTGGAGACGAGTATGGTTCCCACAATGTCATGGTGGTTTCCGAAATTATGGTACCTTGTTGGGGTCCTGAAAAGAGGAAATCCTGCTATTTGGGGGTCTGTCGGGGTCCCCTATTTTCGTAAACCCGACATTTCTTGGGGGTTTCTCGAGGAGGGCCGCTAACAAGTCCAAAAAAGCAAGGGCTCAACCTTAGGGACCAAAGGCAAAACCTTGTGTGGGTTTTGCAGGTGCCGTCAGAAGCCGCAAAGGAGTAAGGAGGAACGAGGGCTCGAGCTTCAGAATCAAAGGAGCCCAGCACCCCTAAAAAGCTGTGAATTCGTAATGAAAGGGCAGCACTGGGCATCCGAGAAACCCTGAAGCAAGCCTGGGGCTTCTTTCGCCCGCCCCTCAGGTCCCAAAATTCGTGGGATTTGGGCTTTGATGTCGGGGTTTTGGGTAGGAAGGTTTAAAGCTTTTGTCTTCAGGCTTCGGGCTTCGGGCTTGGGGCTCAGGGGGTTTGAACTCAGGATGCACCGCTTCGAGGGTGACCGCCTGGGAATTCTGCTGTTCTTCTGGCTGCGGGCATTCTATCCCCCTATCCATACTCTTTGAGGCAGTGTATAGGGGCTTTAAGCTACTTCATTCCCTCATTCCTTACAAAGCACCAGTAACTAGTTCACTCCCAACCCACGTGAAACATCAAGTCATCAAGTTGGCAACTGAGCCACCTGCGTGAGTCCCGTTCCTATTTAGGGAGTGTTCCGTTCGGGAACCCTTGCAGGTACTTCTTGATGATAAGAGGTTTCCTTTCGCAAAGAACATCCCAAAGGGATCCTCCGTTGGCAGCCCTACGCTGTACGAGCGACTCCGGTGCCCAGCTCTTTAACTTACAGTCCACTTCGTGGACCGCATTTGCCCTGCGTCTAAGGGGCTGTCTTGCAACAAAAACCGAGAACAAAAGAGAGGGCTGACCGTGTGTTAAGTGGCATTGTGTAGAACCTGCGAAAAAGTCACGCAAAAGGCGATGTGTGGCGAGTAGAAGCGATCAAGATCCTCTTCCTTGTGCGGAGAAGCTATTCACCGACGATCTGCGCACAGAATCGCAACGATAACCCACAAGTCCCAAACCCCGAGGCAGCGGTCCTGAACGTCATGTCGATGCCGGGCTGCGCCCACACGCGCACGCAACAGGAGCCTCTCCAAGGCCCAGTTTCGGGTAGGGCACGGAGTGCAAGATCACAAGTGGGAGCACAGAGTAATTAGACACGGTCTCAGTACTTTGTGTCTTCTGCTAGCGGAAAAGGGAATTTCCCACGTGCAGTGCGCGCCCTAGTTCGTGGTCGGTCTATTGGTGACACTTGATTATGGGGGAGCAGAAGCAAGTAGTGGCCCTGTGGGGCTGAAGGTTCTAGGGATTTGGAGTCTGGGCATTCGGGTTAGGGAGGTCAGGCTAGGCAGGCATAGCAGGCTTTTTGTTGGGGGGTTAGCCTGTGGCGTGTAGCACCCGAAACGAAACCATCCTGAGTGGTTTGTGGCTGCTTAGGGTGCAGGGTTTAGGCTCAGGGTTTGGTTCTTAGATGCGGAAAGGAGAATGCGTTCCGACACTTACAATAACAATCATAATAAATACAACGATAGCAATAAGAAGGATGGGAGTAAAACAGGAAGAACCATTCTGGTAAGAAGAACAGCAGTCAAGCAAGAATGCTGCAAGAAGACGGGCAATGAGAATTACAATATCGAGTAGCTGCCATCCGGAAAATTTTAGGGTTTTGGGTTTTGGGTTAGGGTTTAGGGTTGAAGGTTTAGGGTTCAGGGTTGAGGGTTGAGGGTTTAGGGTTTAGGGTTTGGGGTTTAGGGTTTAGGGTTCAGGGTTTAGGGTTTAGGGTTTAGGGTTTAGGGTTTAGGGTTAAGGGTTTAGGGTTTAGGGCTTCCCAGCCTGGCACTGGAAGGGGCGCAATGGGGGCCTCGTCGGCGGCCGCTGCCTGCGCCGCCAGGCAGACCTCCACCCTGGGCACGGGCGTGGATTTGTTAGAGGGTTAAATCTTAGGGCTGAAATGTAAATAGAAATATATATATATATATATACATATGTTAACAATATAATATGTAATATGCATATACATATACACATAATGCATTCTTTAATAATCATAGTAATAATAGTAAGAAGAATATAATATAATAAAATATAATATAATATAATACAAAAATATAATATCATATAATATAATATAATAGAATAGAATATAACATAATATAATATAATATAATATAATATAATAAGCAGAATATAATTTAATTTAATTTAAGATTTTATCATATAGTATAATATAATATAATATAATATAATCGAATATAATATTATTTGTATTCGACAATGATATATATATATATATATATATATGAGTTACAGGGCTGTTTGGACTGACAAGGGCTTAGGGTGGTTCAGGGTTTGCAGCTTCGGGCTTCCAGCGACTGCCTCTACGACTTTTGGCGCTGCGCAGTCGGGTTTAGGGTTTAGGGTTTAGGGCTTAGGGTTTAGGGTTGAGGGTTTAGGGTTGAGGGTTGAGGGTTGAGGGTTGAGGGTTGAGGGTTGAGGGTTGAGGGTTGAGGGTTGAGGGTTAGGGTTTAGGTTTAGGGTGTAGGGTTTAAGGATTAAGGTTTAGGGTTTAGGGTTAGGGTTTCGGGTGGAACCCTCTACAGGAACGGACGGAATCGCACAAGAGGTCACCACCCCCCACCTCCCTTTCAGCGTAAACCCCAAAGTGGCCCTGAACATGGGCAGGGGCGGGAGGGGGGGTGAATTGAGGGGAAAGGGTGGGCAGTGGAGGTCTTCAGGGCTGTAGGTTTAGGGTGTTGGGGTTTCGGGTTTTGGGCTTCAGGGGTTAGGGCTGCGGGGAGGAGGGATGGAGGAATTAGGGCTTTGGGATTGCTGTCGGAGTTGACGGTTCATTGCTGAGGGTCTATTCATGGTGTATTCTCAAGGTCTGTATACGGATCAGGGTTCCGTGATGAGATGATATAATATATGCATGGTTTGGGACTTGAGGTGGTGTTTCTATATGGGGGTCTACGAAAATGAGGGGCCCCAATATAGACCCCCAAATACTAGGATTCCCTCAGAATAAGGACCCCAATAAGGTACCCCCTATTTTCGGAAACCCCATCTTGGGGTGTGTGAAGGGCTTAGGGCTCAGGGCTTCGGCATCGAGTTTTGGTCCCAGTGGCTGCATGGGCGGCAGAGAGCAGAGTGAAAACTCCGGCGAAAGCACCCCAGGGTTGTCCACTGCCGCCTGCGGTTTAGGGTTTAGGGTTTAGGGTTTACGGTTTAGGGTTTAGGGTTTAGGGTTTAGGGTTTAGGCGGTTTAGGGTTTAGGGTGTAGGGTTTAGGGTTTAGGGAACAGCCCCAGCGCCCAGGGTCTTCAACCCCCTAAGCCCTCAACCCTGGAACTCCGCAAGCCCCAAATGCCGAAATTCAGGGTGTCAAGCTCGAAATTGTATCTATGGGCTTAAGGGCCGAAGGCTTAGGGGCCTGCGCGGCCTGCATGCTCTCAAACCCTGGCTCGAAAACTCCGACAATCAGGCTTCGGGGCATGTAGGCCATGGCCAAACCCTTGACACTAAACTCTAAACCCTAAATAAACCCTAAACCTTAAACCCTAAACCCTTGGCCTCCTTCTGAAGACTCGCAGAGAGCCGTCTGTGGAAGCGTCGGCACGTCCAGTGAAGGCTTCTGCAATAGACCTTTGAGCCAAGATTCCCTACCAAGAGGGTTCAGGGTTTTGGGTCTCAGGTTTTAGGGCCCAGGGTTTAGGGTCGTGGGTCGAGGGTTTAGGATTTAGGGTTTAGGGCTTTAGTGTTTGGGGTGGAGGGTTTTTGGGTCTAGGGTTTAGGGTTAGGGTCAATTTGGGTTTTGAGTTCAGGGTTTAGGGATCGGGGCTTGGATTTTCGGGCTTGGGTTTCGTGAAGGCCCTCTAAGCTATGAACCCCTAAACCCTATTGCGAACACTAAGGAACCCCTCCACCCTACAGGACTTGGGGTTCAGGATTCAGGGTTTCAACCCTAAACCCTCAACCCTAAGGCCGGCGCGTTTTCGGACAAGGAGTTGCTCTCTGAGATGCCTCGGCGGACATACGAGCAGACACTAGGCTGAGAATTTGCTCCCTAACCCTAAACAATACAACCTTAAACCGTAAACCCTTCAACCCTCATCCTATCCTCTAATGTCTTATTCGGGTGACGGCATATCGCTTGCATGCCGATGTACTCAACCTGCCGCCTGCTAGGGAGGGCGACCCAGTTGCTGTGTTTGACTTGCCTCACCTATCACTTGCAGCACCGCTGGTCTCATTGGATGTCCTATGGAGCCGCTTTTCTCTTTTGGGGGCCACTTTACTTTTAGGGGTCTCGAGTTTGGGTTTGGTCAGGGTACGGTCGAGCGTGTAGGGTGTAGGGGTTTAGGGTTCAGGCTATGACTCTGACGGGGGTTAGGAAGCTGGAGTGTACGTATCAGTGGCTTCGGCTTGGTTCAGGGCCAGAAGGTGTAAGGGTGTGCGGCGTGCGGTTCAGGGATTTGGCGCGTCTTCTGGACCGTGGACAGTCGCAGAAGCAAACTCCAAGCGCGCTCAGGTTCAGGCCTTGCAGTTCAGGAGAATTGCCGCGCCCGCATTTTATGGAGAATCCGTAAACCCCAACCCTAAAAAAACACTCCTGCTTTAGGACTTCGAACTTAGGGCTTCGGGTGTTGACATGAACCTTCTGCCAGGGCCGGCACGCTGTGCACCCACAGTGACCGCCGATTGAAGATCCTGACTGCGGAGGAAGTGCCCCAACATCCCATTAACCAGCGATCCAAATCCTGAAGCTGCCCAAAAACCATCAATCCCAAACCCGAAGCCCTAAGCCCTGCTCCCCACACCCTAAAGCCTAAACCCTAGGCCCTGAACCGTAAACCGTAAGCCCTAAGCCCTACACCCTACACTGGGGATTTCGGACTCTGCCATTCGGGCTGCGAGATGGGCTGAGCTGTTCAAGTTTCGCTTCAGCGGGTCAGGGATGGAAGGTCCCAGGGCTGAAGACATTGAAGAGTTTGGGGCTTTGGGTTTAGGGTTTAGGATTTAGGGTTTAGGATTTAGGGTTTAGGATTTAGGGTTTAGGATCTAGGGCTTGGGGTTTGCGCTTAGAGTTTGAGGCTTAGGGTTTAGGATTTGGGCTAGGGCTTAGAGGAGCTCTCAGATGTTGGATCCTGAAGCCTAAAGCCCTAAACCATGAATCCTGAACCCCGGGGCAAACTCCTGGACTCCTGAACTCCTGGACTCCTGAACTCCTAAACCCCTAAATTCCGGAACTCCCAAACCCTGAACTCCTAAACTCCTAAACTCCAAAACTCCCAAACTCCCAAACCCCTAAACTCCTAAGCTCGTAAACTCCTAAACTCCCAAACTCCCAAACTCCCAAACTCCTAACCTCCTAAACCCTAAACTCCTAAACTCCTACACCCTAAACCGCAACTCCCCCCTGTCTCCAGGCTGCCTCGATCTGCAGGCGTGAGCTGGTCTCTCCTTGGGCCATCCTTGCGACAAGGCTTCGAGGGTGGCACAAGCCTGCTAACCCTATTAGCCCTGTCAACCCTATTAACCCGATAAACCCTACTAACCCTACTAATCCTACTAACCCTACTAACCCTCTTAACCCTCTTAACCCTACTAACCCTACTAACTTTGTTAACCCTGTTAGCCCTATGAACCCGAAGCTCCTCAAGGATCCGTCAGGGGCTTGGAAGCTGCGCGAAGCGAAAACTCCAAACAAAGATGCTTGCTGAGCCGGCTGGACAAGTCGGGGGCTTCCGAAAATAGGGTACCCTTTTTGGGGGTCCCTTTAAGGGGATTCTACTCTATTTGGGGTAGAAAAGGGGTACGTGCCCCCCTATTGTGGGAAGTAACCCAAGTGAAAAGCACTCTTTGGGGGCCTCGGTCACACGTCGAGTTCCTGGGTGTCTGACAGAATAGCCTGCTTGCGTGAGTCCCTTTACACCACCCTATTGCTTCAGCGGCTCATCTTCTACTGCGCAGAGCAGGTCGTGCTGGGGCTATTTGACTAGAAGGAGTACGTTGGGTACTCTCTTAGTACTTATATAGGGATTGAAGGGATTCTCAGGGTTAGGACAATGTTACGTAATTATGGATGACAAGGGGTGGCAATCGTTCGCGCTCGTGCCACCTAAACGCGCAAACGCACGCTTCAACTGAAAGAGTGCGTGAACAGCGTTGGATCGCCATATGGCGAGTTTAGGGGTGGGTTCAAAGATCCAAAACTCAAAGGTTGCGTGTAACCCTAAATAAATTCAAAGCCACCCCCCTATGCCCTGAAGGTCATGCCTTAGTCATGCCTTACTCACTGTTGGTTCGTAGGGAATGGGGGAATGAGGTACCCTATAGAGTCCCTTAAAGGGTAATATCTAGGGGCCCTAATTCCCTCATTCCCTACTAAGCAACAGCAAGCTTAAGGCGCTGCGCGCCTCTCCATGCAGTCAGCTATGCCATTCTCGAGGCCAGCCCGCCTGGCAGCCGAGGAAATCAAGGGACGAAAGGCGGGACCCTTACAAGGGACCTTAGGGGTTCTCTTTGGGGCTTGTTTAGGGGCTACTTAGATATATAGGGACTCTATAGGGTATATATAAGGCTTAAAAAGGGAAATAAGATTAAGGGTCCCTTCTAGGGGTCCCTCCCCTTAAGGCCTTGAGGAAATGGAGCCATGGGCTTGCATTTTTCAATGGCAAGGGGCTTTAGGGAAGCTCGAACCCGCTCTATGAAAGCCTTGAGACTTTAGGGCTTTAATTCTAGGGCGCGCCGCTGCTGGTGTGTGAGCAAGAAGAGTTCCGGGCGAACGTGACAAGCCCAAGCATTCTCAACTCGAAGTGCTGAAGAATGCCCAAACTCCAAGTCCTCAACCCTCAAACCCAACCACCATGAAACACCCTAAACCCCTAAACCCCTTTAAACCCCCTTAAACCCCTTTAAACCCTTTTAAACCCCTAACCCATAAAAACCGAGCAAGGCACGTGGTCTGGACCAGCTGCTCCACGTCCTTGATGGACCTGGCTCGAACTTTACAGACGTTGCCCCTACCCCGCAGCCCCCGAAAGTCAAAATCACAAACCTTACAGACCATGAGAACCTTCACCCTAAAGCCTAAACCCTAAATAAACCCTACGGACCCTTTGCGCAACTTGGTGGTGGGAGCTCCTGACGATGTCAGTCCGGGGAAATCGGAAGCACGTGCCATAAAACCAACGCCTATCAAAGTGATATTGAGGTATGATGCTAGCCTTTGTATCCGAAAAAGGGATCCCAATCCGTGTAGGCTCAACTCCCGACCCTGAACGCCCTGAACCTCGCAGAAAAGCCAAACTCCCGAAATACTTCAAAACTTCCAAGTCCTCCGCTCCTTCTCCACCCCCCCCCCCCACGCCCCACCCAGTCCCGTAGACCAACTTTCCAGTGCCTCTCCAGGCCGCCAGCGGACAGGAACTGCTGGGACGTGAGCTTGTCCAGGCCATCCTCGTGGCATTTAGCTGTTGCATGCTTGTACCTTGAAGCGTCCAGTCAAGGGTTTTTGGGTGTTTTCTTCCAACTCTAAGATCGTCCCAAGCACGAAAAAAACACAAAACCAACAACTCTTCCAGGTGGCGCAAGTAAGTTGGGGGGATGAAGACTTTCGACGAAGCGAGGATGGAAAGGGCGGAGGGATCATCTAGGACTCAAGGACGAGGCCTCATCCCAAAACGCTACATAAACCTGAACCTTAACGTACCTTAAGCACTAAATACACCCTGAACCATACTCTAAACCCTAACCCTAAACCCTAGACCCTAGACCCTAAACCCTAAACCCTAAACCCTAAACCCGTCTTAAGAACATCGGCTCCTGGAGCTCCTCGCAGCGCTTCGCCAGCGGTGGCGCGAGGGCATGCGCTCCCTGCCAAATTCTTTGGGAGGGGGGGGGGGGGGGGGGGCTTCGTGTGCCTTATTCGGAAGGTTTAGGGTTTAGGGTTTAGGTTTAGGGTTTAGGGTTTAGGGTTTAGGTTTTAGGGTTTAGGGTTTAGGGTTTAGGGTTTAGGGTTTAGGGTTTAGGGTTTAGGGTTTAGGGTTTAGGGTTTAGGGTTTAGGGTTTAAGTTTAGGGTTTAGGGTTTAGGGTTGTTAAGGTTTTTTTGGGTTTAGGGTTTGGGGTTTGGGGTTTACGCGTTTAGAGGCTTCAAGGTCTAGGGGGCTTCAGGGTCTAGAGGTCGGGGCTGTAGACTGTCGAGGTGATGAAGTTGAAGCGAAAGTGCTGTGTGTTGATTACGATGATCGTGATGTGATGATGAAGATCAGGTGCAAGAACTTGTGTTGGCTTTGCTCGACTGGAAGGGAAGTGTTCGAAGGAGCGTGGTGCTTGTTTGCGTGTGGAAGATGATGTTGTGGGCTACAGCTGGCTTGCATTTGCAGCATTCCAATCTCATCTTGCCCTTTTGCCTGTGTCGAGCGGACACGTATCCACGATTGTTAGAGGCAATGGTTGACAGCTCACGATGAGCGGTTCCGCTGTCAGATGACCCCCGTCTCGCTACTTCTGCGCAGAAACAACTTGTTCAGGGTTTAGGGTTGAGGGTTTAGGGTTTAGGGTTCAGGGTTTAAGATTTAGGGTTTAGGGTTTAGGGTTTAGGGTTTCCAGGGCTTGCACGCAGAGTTGGAGTTTGGGGTTTAGCCACTGCGGACAGTGCCAGGATCCACGAAGCACTGGAGCCCTTCAGCCAAACCCTAAACCCTAAACCCTAGACCCTAAACCCCAAACCCTAAACCCTAAACCCTAGCCCTAAACCCTAAACCCAAGCCTAAGCCCTTAAACGAGGAGCCTGGATCTCCGTCCGCAGCTCGGCCACGCGCGCGTCGATGACCCCGTGGCATCCCTGCACATCCTGGCAGGGGCGGGTTTGGAGTTGTGGTTCAGGTTTTAGGGTTTAGGGTTTTAGGGTTTAGGGTTTAGCGTCTATGGGCTCAGGGCCTAGGGCTTGAGGTATAGGGTTTAGGGCCTGCCCCATGCAGGAGTCGTAGGGTTGTTCATGAGGGTTTTCGAGGATTGGGGCTTTTTGGCTGCCAAACCCGAAAGCCTCAAACGGTCACCTCTCTGAACATTAGGCCCTCTTCTTTGATGTCTTTCTGTACCCCCAAAAAGAAGGACCTGAGCTTAGCGAACGATTCTTCCCCGCCAAGTTCGCAGAAACCCTAAACCCTAAACCCTAAACCCTAAACCCTAAACCCTAAACTCTAAACCCTAAGTCCCGGAGGCGCGGAGGGCTCCTCCGCGACCTGCCGGGCAGCGGCGTGTGCTGCAGACGCGGCTTCGGCGGTCTCGGCAACTGACCGCTTGGCGGCTTCGTCCACCTGCGAAGATGAAGTTATTAGGTTTAGGGTTTTGGGTTTAGGGTTTTGGGTTTTGGTTTCTGAGTTTTGGGTTTAGGGTCTAGGGCTTAGGGTTTGTTAAGTCCCAGGTCCTGGGATTGCCCTGTAAAGCCTTCTGGAGAAATCTCAAGCAAGATCCTCTTAAAGCCAACAAAGAACCTGTGAAGTGTCCCAGCGTCCCGAAGGGACGAGAGTGACCCTCGATCCTCAAAACCTCGATGTCACACACCTACAGCATACAGCACTACACCCCCACAGCCCTACAAGCTGAACCTGAGACTCTTCAAGATGTTCTACTTTAGACGTTTTCACTCATCTTTCCTGCAACGGTGTCCCATCATGGCACCCGGTAAGAAACTAGCATATGAAGGTCCGCAAAACAGACCTCTCAAGCCCCTCCCGGAAGAGTCGGAGGAGCACCTAACGAAGCGTCTGCCTGCGGTCACGCCACTCTTCTTTTCGCAGCTTTCGCCAATGCGGCTCGATGCTCCTCCTACTGGTCATCTCCACTTGTAAGTCGAAGCGAAACTTCAATGCAGGAGCACATCGACAGTGAACATTTTAGTTCCTTGATAAGTCCTGTGTGGGGACGTGACAACCCGGGTGTGCCAACTTTCTGAATCGTTGCTGTTAGCCAGCGCTCTCAACAACACATCTCAAAGGCTGAGAGAAGGCGAACAGAACTTAGATCTGCGGAACATCTGCAGTGACACACTCGGTTGTCTCAGGGCAGAGAAGCATTTTCAGGTACGTTAAGTTGCTCCTTGCCCTTTTGCTATACAAAGCCCTGGGCCCTGTCAAAATGAACACCTTCATGGCGTCACGGTACTGGTATGAGCTCAGAGGGATTGAAACTGTGGTTCCACAGCATGTGCGAGCATGTGCTCTTTGCACTCCCTGCGAAACTGTAAAAGCAAATTGAAACTGTGAAAAGATTCCAGTGCGAAAGAGCCGCACTTCTAGTCGAATTCATAGGAGAGGAGGTCTTCGGAAGGTGAAGCCGCACGATCTGGCACAAGGAGCTTTGCCTGAGCTTCGGGGCCAAGCTCTCAGATCTCATGATGCACATCACTTGTTGCCCTCTTGCGGCCCACAAACATTCCCTGAATGATTTTGCCTTCCTTGGCAAGCTGTGCCATGAACTCAAAGTCAGCGATCAACTTGTTGTAAGCTTCTTCATCCCAGTTCAACAACTTCTTGGCATCATAGACGGCCTGCAACTTCAGCATGTGCAAATAGCTGTTCATGGCAGGTGAGAAGCGGCCGCTGTTCTCTGCAATCTCAACCTCAAAACCTGCCTTCCTCAGCATTTGAGCATACTCCTCCACTGTCGGGATGGCAGGGAATGTCATCAGGCTCAGGTATTTCTGCGCCTCTGCGTCAGACAGGCCTTCGCCCTCGATCCAGTCAGTAAACATGACTTTTCCTCCGGGCTTGACGATGCGAGCAGCCTGGTCAATGATCAGCTGCTTGTCAGGCATGTAGCACCAAGCATCCTTGCTGTACACAAAATCAGCGGAGGCGTCCTGAGCGTTTGCCAAAACAAGCGATTCGAACGTGATATGACATGCCACTGGAATATGCAAAGGTACAGAGGAACGCAACACGCACGACAACTGCATAAGTATGCAGCCCCAAGTTTCAGGGAGGCCGTTCTCCAAGGAGTTCTTGTTGATGAACTTGATCTTGTCACCGAGCCCCTCCTCCTCTGTCCTCTGTCTGCCCGTCTCCACCACAGACTTCGTGAGGTCCACGCCAATCATCGAGTCCACTCCTGCAAGGCGAACCAAGCAACGCATGCCTCCGCCGTTGTTGCAGTTCAACTCAACTCCCTTCATCCCTGGCCCCACATGAGCTCTCTCAGCCAGTTCCAAGGTGGAAGATGCGCCGCCGATGTCAATCTGTTTGCCCATGACCAGTTCCCACACCTTCTGCTCCGGACCGCTGTAGCACTTTGCAATGGCATCTGCATTGGCTGCCTCTTGGTCTTGCAGGATCTTCATGGCGCGGCTGCACCAAAGGCTTGAGAACGCAACGAACCAAGCGGCGATCTGCACGAACACCATGGCGTCAAGTGGTGCGCCGAGATATTCAATATCTCTCAACGAGATGCAGACAAAGCAAGCTAAAAATGAGCTTCGGTTGTCACTCACGTGCGAACGCAACAACCTTTCAGTCCAAAGTCGCACAAAGTTCCACAAGAAGTCACAAGCGCCAACAGCCTCCGGCGCTGTTCATGCCACGCAGGCCCCCAAACTCCCCGGCACGCGAAGTCACAAAGTGCCCCCTCTTCAAGCACAAACAGGATCCCAAAAAAGCAAGGGGCTCGCCCCTGACGTCCAGTCAAACATCCGTTCAACCGCCCCTGCCTGCGCCAGGGCGGTCTTCTGAGCCTCGAGCCTCGCATTACACCCCATTTGGGGGCTTACGATATTAGGGGTACCTTTTTTGGGGTCCCATACGTTAAGGGAATCCTACTATTGGGGTCCCTTATTTTCGTCAACCCCCATGATCTCGTAGGCAAATGACACAGCCCTGGGGCCGTAGAGCCCAAAGGTTCAGCTGGTCGCATCTTTGGATTCGGGTGGCTGGGATGGAATCTAGCAGTTCTGGGGCTTGCTTTGGGGGTATTGATTGGGATGTCCCCCCTTTTTCTAACAGTCCTGAATAGGGATTCCAATAAGGGGTACTATAATCCCCATTAAGGACTGCTAGCATAAGGGGGAACATCCCAAGGTGTTGAGGGCTGAGAGGTGTTGAGAGGGAAGGAAACACGAGCCCCTCGTTGCAGCGCGGGCGCTGCTCGAAGAGCTCCACGCGCACCTGCTGAGCCTGCGATTGGGGTTGCCCTAAACCCTAAAGAAAGGTTTGTTGATGGCTTCGGGCTCGGCTTGAAGGGCCGAGGGGTCTGGTTCTACATTGCATGGTCGGCCCCTATTGAAAGGGCTCAGAACTGGGACTGTTCAGGATTGCTGTTCTTCCCGGCGCATTTCGATCGCCTGTTGGCTGTGGCTGACGTCGATGGGCTTGCGCGACCGGCATGGGCCGTGCAATCACTTCAGACGTTGAGGACACACTTCCACCAACATGAAGGCACGGACGCAGGACCAGGGGACTGAGCAGGAGGCCGCAAGCCATGCCCCAGTAAGTTGTGTGCGGTGGTCCGAAAGGGGAAGACAGGCACACGTGAGGATTCGCGGTTCGTTTCGAGGGGCTGCTATGCCTTCTAGTCAAAGGCGTTCGGGGGAGTCTCTGCAGGCTTCTCCTCAACCTGCATCTGCCCTTCTCAGCTGGGAAACTGGGATAATAAGGACCCCTAATATAGACCCCAAGTAGTAAGATCCCCTTAGACAGAGGACCCCAACAAGGTACTCCTAGCATCGTAAACCCCCATTGAACTTTCTAGGGGGGGGTCTAGAGCGCGTAGGGCTTCGAAGGCCGTGAGCCCCAGGGTGGCATTTCAGAGGCCTCGGAGCCGGTGGTGTCGCGGAGACCATGCAGCTGCTGCGAGGCTGCCTGTCTCGGCTCCGGCTCAAGGGTTCAGGGTTCAGGGTTGCTTGGGTTTTGAGGGGGGTTTAGGGTTTAGGGTTCAGGGCTAAGGGCTTGAAAGCGTGAGCCTTTCTGAACCTTCCCAGACCCAGATCGGAGGTGGAGGGCGTTTTCTTCATGGCTTGACTTTCTTTGCTCAAAGCAAGCAGACCGAGGGCGGATTGCTTAGATTGAGTATTTTGGGGTAGCTTATTTTACAACTATATAGGGCTCATAGGGGGATGATCTTGGCAGCCGTTTAGGCGCCTGAATTATAGTAGATTGTGGTGACGGAGTTCGGGGAGCGTCGGGGGCGACAAGAGACCGGCTTTCTGAATGTCTCAAGGATGCCTGACACCCCGAAACGAGCCCTAACCTGAACAAGCACCTCGTGCGAAGTCCACTGCATGCCTTTTGAGCAGAACACTACCCATTCCAGATCCTAAACCCTCAGCCCTAAAAACCGTAAACCCTAAACCCCAAACCCTAAACCCTCAGCCCTAAAAACCCTAAACTCTAAACCCTAAACCCCAAACCCTCAAACCCAAGGCCCTCATGACCTAAGCCCCCCAGGTCCGTATCGCAAGGACGTGCCTCCAGCCTTGAGTCCATCTCCTGGCGCTCCCATGGTTTCGGCTTAGGGTTTAGGGTTTAGGGTTTAGGGTTTAGGGTTTAGGGTTTAGGGGTTTAGGGTTTAGGGTTTAGGGTTTAGGGTTTAGGGTTTCAGGTCCGCCGACCCCGGCGGCGTGTTGGATGGGAAAAGGAGGTGAAAACCTCCCTCTTTCCCTCCTTACCCCCCCAAAAACCGAGGGGGGGGTCGGCCAGGCCTACCCCCCCCCCTACCCCCCCCCACCCCCCCCCCTACCCCCCCCCCCCCCTAACCCCCCCGCCTACCCCTCCCCAGCCCCCCTACCCCTCCCCAGCCCCCCTACCCCCCCCCCTACCCCCCCTACCCCCCCCCTACCCCCCCCCCACCCCCCCCACCCCAACCCCTTGCCCCCCCCCCCCAACTTTGGCATCCTTTGACCTAACGAACGTGTTTAAACCTTTCAACTATGCTCCAGCGGGGTCGGCGGCTTGAGCCGGAGGCTCTTAAATTTAGGGTTTAGGGTTTAGGGTAGGGTTTAGGGTTTAGGGCTTCGGGCTTAAGGTTCTCTGGGGAGGCTTCGGGCAGGCTTTGGGGCGGCTTTGGGGAGGCTTTGGGGAGGGAGGCTTTGGGAGGGTTTGCGTAGGGGGGGGGGGGGGGGGTAGAGAGAGTTGAGCGTTTAGGATGCAAGGCTTGGTGGCATTGGTGAGCACTAAAGGCTCGAGCTCTGTTCAACTGGGCATAAGAGCCTGCCAACTTTAGGGCATCGACCGGCTTCGGGCTCAGGGCTGAGGGTTGCGTTCAGGGATTGCAGGGTCCTTCCGATCCTAAAAGTCGCAGAGCCTCTTGAGCTCTAACCCTGGGAGTCTCAGTTCCACTTCGGGCTGAGTTCGGGATGCGGGTTTCGTTTGGGCTGAGTGGTTTAGGATTCTGGCTCCGTGCCCACAGCCCGAGATTGAGAAGACCCCAAGCTGAGAATCATATCGGACACTGTGGGAAGGGATCTCTATAGCATCCGTACATGCATATGTGTGAATAGATACATGTTGACGCGCATCCTCAGTCGACACTGTAGCACATGCGCTGCTTTCTTGAATGTTTTCTCAGATGGAGCAGCTTGGGACTTTGCAGGTGATTCCGAGATGCTTCGGATCCAATACAGGTGCCTGAACTACAAATTCTCATCCCCTTCTAAACTCTTATATCAACCGAATACAAACTACATAAGATACCCACTAGATAGAAGTAGGCCCGCACATTCGGTTGTGGGAGAAGTCGGTTTGGACGAGGCGGCCTTCCTGAATGATGATCCCTTTGCGGCAGTCTGAATGGTGGGTTTGGGGCTTAGGACATGCTACACCCCGGGCGCGCGCGTGACGAAAGCTCAGTCCTTGCGAAGGTCATGCAGGGACTGCGTGTGCCTCTCCACGGCGACCTTGGCAGCATGCGCTTGCTCGCAGCCGCCCAAAGCATCCCGGAGGCGCCCGCACCAGACCCTTCCCAAGAGCCCCCGCTCCCCAGACGTTCAGGGTTTAGGGTTGGACGTTTAAAACCTTACAGCCACGGTCAAAGTCCCGAAGCCTCTCATCTCGAATTCTTGTAGAACCCGCCCTGAATCCTGGTTTGGGTCAGTTGGAGGGCTTGACATGGGAAACCCCCCAAACCCTCAACTGTGAGGACTACCCGAAACCCTAAACCCTCCCAGACGACCTGCGTTACACCGTCTCAACCCTGAGAACTCCAAGGTTAAGGATGCAAAGGCAAACTCTACAGTTGAAACCCTAAACGGCCCTTGACGCGACTTCCCAAACGTTCAGCCGGCCGAAGCCTCCTTCGGAAAAGCTCTTGGGGGGCAAGTCTTGTCAAGGGACGAGAGGGGGACCCTTGAGAGAGGGGCCCTAGAGATGGTCAAAGTGCACTATCATGGTTGGTAATTTCGGTTAAGGTAAATGTCCATCTCAGACCCAGGGGCTGGGGGCATGTGATGGGCTTGAGGCCTAACCGAGGGGGGATCGGGCCTCGGGGGGCCCCAAACCCCAAAACCTGACACGCGCCCCCTTTTCGGTGCCTTCAGGGCTTCGTCAGCCAGCATCACCTTGTCCTGGACCTCTGCCTGGGGCTTCAGGAAAGAGCAGGCCGGTCTGGAAAGAGACTCCGGCTTTGGAGAAGCTCTCACCCTAAGGCATGCACCAGCCACGAAACTCTAAAGCCCAAAACCCAAAGCCTAGAGCCCTAGACCCCAAATCCCCTGGACCTTCAATCCTTAAACCCTTAGGCATACAGTTTTGGACACGAAAACACCTGCTCTTTCTCCAACAATTCGCAGACAAGCGCCAACCACTTGCGGACAAGCGCAAACATTTCACGGACAAGCGCCAACAATTCGCGGACAAGCGCCGAAAAACAGCACCAACAACTCGCGGACAAGCGCCAACAATTCGCGGACAAGCTCCAACAACTCGTGTACAAGCACCGCCGAGAACATTTGTCCCGGGGGAGGGCCCTGGGGGGGTCCCGCTGGCGGGACAACCCATATTGGGGTAAAACGAGAAGGAAAATATTTTCATCATGTTATGGGATCGATCCAATGGGTGGGTGGTTCAATACCGGAGCAAGGAGCCTTGCTAGTGAATGCTTGAATTTGAGATGCTGAACCCGAACCCCCCAAACCCTAAACCCTAAACCCTAAACCCTAAACCCCAAACCCCAAACCCCCAAACCCGAAACCCCTTCGGGGCCTTGAGGACCTCCAGGTCGCGAGACAGCTGCACGGTCACGGAGGACTGGAGCCTTGGCTGCGACCCTGGGGCTGGCTTCTTGAGGGTTTAGAGTTTAGGGTCTAGGGTTTAGGGTTTAGGGTTTAGGGTTTAGGGTTTAGGGTTTCCGAAACTACCTGGAGACTCCGATACACCTTACTTGTGGAATACTCCTTAAACTCATGATTTAAGAAACCCTCTTATATACTATGGGGTGTTCCATAATCAGGGGTACTGGAGTC